GTCAGTCAGATGGACGGGTTAGGTGAGACACAAGGCTCTCCTAAAGCGAAGGGAATCGATTGGGACATCGAAGTTGAGTTCCCACTCTGGAAGCTGGAAAAATTCGCGACCTTTCCGGTAAGAGGCGGAAGTTGGGAAAGGGGAAAATAGGCGACTCTGAGCATCTCTCAACCCTGGCTCGAGCTCCGTACCCTGAAATTGCTTGACGAGACCGTGGTCCTGGAGTGTCTCGTCGTTCCTTTCGCGACAGGAGGTCGTTGTCCTCCGCGCGGTTCCCGAGATATTTCGCCCATTTGGAGTTTGCGACAGATTCTTCTGGACAGACCAATACGGCTACGCGGCCTCTAGAGCAAGTTCGGGTGATCGATCGAAGAGAGACCACCATTTCGGGACGACATCCTGGAGATGCGTGTGAGTCGGGTTCGGCTTGAACGTGCGTGTTCGATCTCCTTCCTACCCGCGCATGTGGCGACGGATATGCGTGTATAGATCACTGGTTGTCTCGCTGTCATCAAGCAAAGAGTTTCACGCGTTGCACGGCTGATTCAAGGCTATCGTTATGACCGATGATGTGATCGAGAAGAAGCACAGCGGTTGTGACAATCGCGAGGGCGGCCGTTTGTGAAGGAAAACTACTTGCACTTGTGGCAGGATGGCGCTACCGTTGTGGAGCGGATGAAAACGCTTAGAACGTCCGTCGCCTGAATTATCCCGCCCAAAAAGGACCGGATCGGCAATAGATCTGCCTGCTTGTCATAAGCAGGATACGATATGCGTCTTATTGGAGAGCGATGATGTTTCAGTATCCGCTGGCGAGTTTTCATGGTTGACTGAGATTGACACGGCGGTCCTTCACTCATTAAATACCCGAGCTTGTTCTACAGACTCCGACCCGTAACATGCATACATATAGGAATATGGGGGTCGTTCACCCATTAGGTACACAAGAACTCATGTCGGGTGCTCCCCTGAAGATTAGCCTGAGTATCGAATCAGACGAGTATGAAAGCATTCCACATGAGTTCAATGCATACAGGAGACATGCGACGCTGGCCCGGAAACGCTTATTGTTCTTTTCTGATCTATTCTTTGGAGAACGGGATCCAGTTTCATCAGGACCATCTAGCTCCCACCGGGACGTCAAGGGCTGCGCGAGAGACACCGTGGATGACGGTGCATTCCTTCGCATTTCGGAAGCGAAAAAGAGCGTCAACTTACGTTCCCCCACGTTTTTCTTCGCGTCGTTGTGGTACGAGTTGGCTGACTTCGATCGGAAAAAGATATTCCTCTTCTCAACTTACAGGTGCAGATTTCGCAGTCAGTTTTGATGATCGCTTACCTCTTGGTCCCAATGTTCCGGAATAGCGGTTACCCATAATCAATTATCCGAATTTGGCAGGCGTCTATTGGGGCGATTCTCAAAGTTTTTTGTGAAGTTATCCGGAATTACGAGTGATGTTGTTGGACGGAACACCGCTGGAACCTCCGTAGGGGTACATCGATCGAACATGGTGTACACTTCGCCGGATCCCATATATTCTTTCCTTCCGAATTCGGGAAATTACCGGAAGAGGAAGATGAAACGTGTGTATTTGTGTTTCCTCCGATAAGGTAGCGGAAGAGAAACCATTCCTACGCGTGGATAAATGTTGAGTAAATGAAAGATGCATCATGGACGATGTGGCACGGTATCGCGGAAAATCTAAAACGAAGTACGAACTCATCAACACCGAATGGAACGCCCTGAAACATGTTTCTCTACGCATAGATGACGAGGATCCGCCGAAACATAGCAGCATTGCATTGATATCGCAAGCAGCGAGGTATGTCATACTACGATCTATTCAGGAATTTTCGTGAAAAGCATCGGAAGAATGTTTTGATAAAATGGCCGATGAAGCCGATGCGATGTCTTTCCAGAGGAATCGATCATCGAATTACGTTTTCTGTGGAGGAACCATTAGTTCCCATTGTATCATCGGAGCCATTCGGAAGCTGGAAAGGATTTTCCTTGTGCAACACAATGGAAGATTCCTTACCAGGATGCGTCCCCAATTCTCATCGAGTCGTTCCGATGATTCGTCCCTAAATATTAGGCACAATCTGAGCACAGCTGGCAGATTCCACTGTAGGCGGTGCAACCGCTGCTGCATGCGACCGGAGATGGACTTCAGCGATTTTCTGGAAGCAGCTTCCGCCAGATGAGTGATCGCAGCGAATCCGCATCCTATACGATCCGATCGTTCTCTTCAGAAGAACACGGACCGAATACGCTCCAATTGAAATCCGTCATGAGGATTTCTTATGTACCGATCAAATCTTGTATATCTTCGCACTCCGCCATCGCCAGAGGGCGAAGTGTCTCCTTTGTCTGCGGCTCGCCGTTGATTTTGTTCTGCCTAGAACGCTGGTCCCAAGAGTCGGAGATTTTCGGGAAATTCTGGAACGAGTTGTACCGATGTTGAGATTCGTGGACGATGTCCGCGACGATAAAGTGTTTCGACCTTGACCGTAAAGCTATAACCTTGTGCCGTCCCCAGTGACATCATGTCTTCCCGACTGTCAGGTGTTCCGAACACTGACGGATCTGTCACTTCGGCAAACACCCTGCCGTATACTTTTCTTCCCCCTCCCGAATTCGCGGACTCCTTCGTGGAAACGAATCCAGAGCGGAACTGCGTCTACAGCGGCCAAACGGGACATACCAAATTTCGGCTTCGGAGGAATCGCCATCGTGCTTCTCGTTTCCTCCCGATGTTGTTCCGGGTGCCAGATTACACGACTGGAACGAGATCGTCCGAAACCATGCAGAAAGCTCAATATCGCGGACGATCTTATCTTTCTGAATAGAGTGGAAGCTTCATCGATCTTCTGACCGAGGTGAAGTTTCGCGTAAGACATTGGAAGCCGATCTATCTCGGAAGAACTTGACCTTCGTCCTCAGTGAAAAAAGGGACAGATTGCTGTTGCGCAATGCGTCCTCGTCGAGCGTGAATCTTGAAAGGCTGAATAGCGGCAGATGAGCATCCGGTCTCTCCAGCCCTAGAAAACAGGGTTCGTCTCAGAATCGTCGCAGGATAATCGTCAGCGATATATGCTCCAGCGATATTTAGAGAGGTATTCCGCGGTTTCGGATCGATCCCTAAGCAATTATTGTGAGGAACGTCGCTGCTGCGAGCGCCGTGGTCCACGATTGGTCACGTAAGAGGACTGCTAGAGGAGCCCGTCCACGCCGGGAAGCACAGCGAGTGGCGTCACATGAAGGCTTCGACAACCCAGCGGACGATCGCGCGAGCTTCTTCGCGAATTCTGGGTAGACACCGAGTCAAATCGAATACGGTGAAGTCGCGAGTTTCTCAACTTCCGCACTGGAATATCTGCGCAATTACGAAGATCAGAAAAATTTGATGTCTCGCCGTCATACATAATTGGTACGCGCGTGGATTATCTCACCGGAAGAGCTTTTGACACGTCAAGATGGCGACTCGCGGGTTCACCAAAAATGCGAGAATCTAGAAATGGAAGTGGCTGGGCAGAGCTTCAGTTTTTCGTGGGTTGTCCGGCAAGCGGTCGAAGCGCATGCCTTCGGGAACGCCAAGAAAACATTCTTCGCTCTAGGGTCCACGAGTGATGAGATTGCTGCAACCTTCCACTGTAGAGCTTGGTGTCTACCCCGGAAGCCCCTCTGCTAATCCGTCTGCATGGGACCCCGAAGAGAAAACCTCCACACGAACTTGATTCTGCGCAGCCCATGCGTATGACAAAGACTCTTCGGAGCGCCGAGTTCCATCGCAATACTGTTTTTTCGTCTCGGAACTCGAGCGGAAAAAAAAAACAGAAAATTCTGCGGTCAAACGTACAGGAGCGATCCGCCGGATCCGCAGGAATATGATAGGTGTCTCAAATGGCTGAAGCAAAGAAAATAGGGAAAACCCTTATCCGGCTATGTCAGGAATCGAATCTGTACCGCATGACATCCGATAGACTGAAAATAAACGTCCACCAGTCTAAGGTTTCGTCGAAAGCCCCCATTGCTGAACCACGGACCCATTAAAGCAATTCATTGTGTCTCGCAGATAAGGCGTGACAAAAATACAGCACCGCTGTCGAATACGTATACCGAGTGATAAGATGGAAACAAATATTTCTTGCTCCACATTTTCATATCACATAGTCGGTTTTCGGAGACCCGACTCCTCGTCAGGGACGGTAGTGTTTCAACACTGAATTACATGTATCGATGAAATGTTCCCAGACGACGACGCGACGGCGAGGAACAATGCATATTCCGATCATGGATAACTCAGCGATTCTTCTATGCTCCGAAACGTCTTGATGTTCCAATTCCGATTGGCAACGCCGACTTTCCGGGAAGGATCGTGTTTCCAGCACGGTAATGTCGGCTTACGGTAGTTGAGCGTAAGCTCTTCCGTGAGGAGCTTAATGGCTCTCCCTAGAGTACGGGGAGGAATCCATCCGGCGTCAGTCCGGGGCGAACATTCTGAATGCTTAGAAAAATTTGAGCTCGCCCTTGGAAGCGCGGGCCCCAGAACGCAGCCGAAGGCCCCTCAGGGATATTTTTCACGCATATCCCGCTTGAAGATTCAAAAATCGTTCACGCCATGGCTTTCCCTGAACCATTATGTCCTGTCAAATCGTCATGCCCTGATCGGTCAGCGGAAAACGATTTTCCCAGCCGAGGCCGATTCAATCGGGTCTTACCAGTTCGACATTCGCAGCTATCGATTCAGAAGACGAAGTCGGGGAATATGTAAAAATAGGCGCCGAGCCCCGACAGAATCTTTGATTGCGCATGATCATCGTCTTCTGCAAGCCTATGCCGCCAATGCGATAATAGCGTCGTCGGCGGCGACCGATCGCATGATGTGTACATGTAACAGTTCGATGAACGACCTGGTGCGACCGCGCGTGCGGACAGTGTTGTGGGGTAAGGGAGGGAGCGATAAGTTTGGCGCGTCGTCTGCTATGGCTCCTCTGCTGCTGTGGTGACTGGGCAGAGAAGCAGTGTTGTTGCCATCGTTGTTGCCGCCTTCGGCTAGCCTATTGGAAGCGCTGTAGTGTTGGTGGCTGTGATCGTGGCCGCTGTCAAGCTCTTGGTGGTCGGCGGGTTCGTCGCTGATTCCTCGGCAGCGAGGTAAGCGCTCCGGTAACACACGGCCGAAAGAATTGCTGCGGAAGCAGCTGCAACGTCGCTAAGAGCTGCTGAACTTCACGCGCAGGAAATACAGTGCTCTTCGCTCGCTCGCTGGCTGGCTCCCTAGCCCGCTCGCTCGAACTAGAAGACTAGGATCACACACGGCCGTTCCGCATTGTGCCCAGACTGAAGTCGTCGGTCGCTGATGTTGCCATCACAAGAGAGCACCGCGAGGGAGCCTTAGTAACAACAAACGGAGGACCGGAGTCTACGGAGACGACGACGACAACAACGGCACCGATAGCCGTGGTCAGCAGTGTTAGCCGCTGCTGACCCGCAGCATCCGGATCGGTTGGAGCTTCGACGAGCCGCTAGAAGACAGATCAGATTGAAGCGGACTTGGTGGCCGGCCAAGCTTCGTGTTGAGAGTGTTCTCCTGACGTGTTCGAACATCGTCGGTGAGTGAAATACACAATCGTCGGTCGACCGAACACTCCCTCAACATATAGTTTCGAACGAGGTGCCGCTGCCTCTTCATTTCTCAGCACACTCGCTCGGTTTTTTCGGCAAGCAGTCGCACACGACTGACCGCTGAGTGAGGTGAGTGAATCTTCGGCGGATATTTCATTGCTGCTGAGGAGATAGAGACCCAGCTTTGGTCTCTCGGTGGGTGGAGCAGGCGATGCTCGGGCCGCTGCTGCTGCTGCTGCTCCGATAGCTGTTCTCTCAGCTGTCACGAAATTCAACGAGTGAGTCGGGGAATGGACTCGATTCCTCGTTTTGACCGTCGCGTCAGATCTTCGTGAAACTTTACAAACGTGCTTCTCCAACGTTTGCGGCTCTTGGAGATAGGAGCTTTCTGAGTTTTCTTCTCTTGGAATTCCCCCAGAACTGTGTTTTTGATGCCGTGTATTTTTCGATCAGGGGATCGTTGATGATTATGTGCGTGTGTTGAGGTGTGAATCGATAAACCAGAGGACCGTGTCGCTGGAGCTGTGGTTCGAGTTACGCATACAACGTGACCGTGAGGTGAATCAACGTTTTTTTTCTTCACGTGCGGTGATCCGGGGAGATCTGACTGCTGAACACTTGTGGCTCCCGATTTTCGTTTCCTCCATATGGGGTTATCGAGAATGATCGTCGAGTTTCTTCGAAGCCTGGTCTCGGTCGGGTCGCTGCCGACGCGGGACTTCCCGTTTAAGGGTCCATTCGGTCGATTGAGTCGGACAAATATCGATTTCGACAATTAAAATTCTCAAAATTTTTGTTGCGATGTGCTCGGACATCTGCCCGTATTAGGTTTCCCATCCGTCGCTTCCACGTTCGCGACTGCGCTTAGCTAGCGGTGGCTTTCTCGGACGTAGCATCTGAAGATTTTCTTCTCTCTTTTTCTAGCTCTTGATCTCAGTGCCGTAAATGTACTCATTTGATTAGATCCATGTTTGGTCGCGCGATAGCCCCCCTCATCCAGCGTTGAGTTCGGTAAGCATGAAGTTCTTAGTATTCCCGCCAGCCGTCACATTCAGACTCTCGACCGCAGAGACGAGAAAGCCTCGAGTTTGTTCAGCTATCTTTTCGCTCCTGTGGAAATACGTTCGGATCTTCTAATATTCCTCCCGGGACGAATCGCTCCTACCCCAGAGCTTGCTGTTTTTCCGGAGCCTTGGAGCGTGTGAATTCCTTATTCTCTCGACCGACTTCTTTCATATCGATATTGTCGCGCATGCAAGCGTTACTTATCGCGGAGGAGCTTCCAGAGGAGCATTGCATGGCATGGCTCGGCGAGCCTCGATCATTTAGTCGCGCGGGAAAACGGACAGAACGAGAAAGCAGGCAAGTGACAGGTTATCCGTGGGCAAGCTACGGTGACTGGGGCCGCTGTCGGCACCGACGTCAGTCTACTGGTTGCTTGCCACCGCCGACGTTGTCGTCGCACACTTGAACGGATAGAACAACGAATGGACGTCTTATAGACAAACAAACGGTGGCTGTAATAGCAGCGGCGGCGACCGACGACGGCGACCGCGGCCCCGAAGACAGCGGCAAAGCACAAGCCGCAATGGCTATAGTATGCCTCTTCCGTACACGTGAAGAGGACTTCCTGGCTGCGGTGGATACAGTCTGGAAGATTTATGATTCCTCTCTTCACAAGCGTCAAGGAGCATGACCGTCTGGCGTCAGACGGCAACACTGATCGCGATTCATGTGTGAACTTGACCGCTTATCCGAGTGTCAGAAGAATTATTATGGGAGAGATTTTTTCCGATTCTATCACCGTCTCCATTGGCCCGGGAACTCGATCGACTTCGGCGCCGTTGTCTGATTCAATTTGTTGGAGAAAAAATGCTCATTGCGCAAACTTGAAGCCGGCGACTTTATGGATGCATTCTCCTCGATTCAGTGACTCAATGCGAAACCGTAGACGACGATCCGAAGGTCTGACGAGCGAGTGGTCAGTCAGTCAGACAAACGGGTGAGAGACAACGCTCTCTCAAAGCGAAGTTTCAGGGTCTAAGTGCGAAGGAGTTGTTCGAGGAGGCGAAAAGAAGTCTGCGTCAGAAGAAGGGGTCAGGAGTCGCTCAGACAACCAGTCGATCGGGCGGTGATCCAGTCTGCTCGCCTGTCTGTCAGTCAGACAGCTAAGCAGTCAATCAGTAGTCACTCAGTTCGTCCGTCCGTCCGTCCGTCCGTCCGTCCACTCGTCTGACCGTGCGTCCGTCCGTCAGTCAGTCAGTCAGTCAGTCGGACTGTCTCGCACCCGCCGTGACGGTTAGGGCTGCAAGGGAGCCACCTGTGATAACGGTGCATTTCTTTGCTTTTCAGAAGCGAAGAAAAAGCATAAACCGAAAATCAAGATGGACATGGAGTCGGTGCAAACATACGTTTTTGAGCGTGATCCAAGATTGAAAACATGGATTTCGGCGCAGCCTCTGTCACTCGTGAGCATCGTTGGACTGTACCTTTATGTCGTGTGTAATTGGGGGCCGAGATTCATGAGAGACAGAAAACCGTTCTCTCTGACTGGCGTGACCCGCGCATATAACCTTTTCCAAATCGTGGCATCGATGACGTTCGCAGTGAAAATTGCTCATCATTTTTACTTTCGGATGGGTCAACCGTTTTTATGCACACCTCCAGACCGACGCGAGGACAGCCTCACGCTCGAGCTGCTTGACATAACATTTTATTACTGGTGGCTTCGGGTGATCGACTTCCTGGATACCGTGTTCTTCATCTTACGCAAAAAACAACGTCAAATTACGTTCCTCCACATTTTTCATCACGTAATTGTTGTATGTGTTTCGTGGGCATCAGCAATATACGGCTTGACAAATTTAGTCATCTTTACGCTGTGTTTAAATTCCTGTGTACACGCTATCATGTACTCATACTACTTTTTGTCAACGCTCGGACCAGCAGTGCAGAAGCATCTTTGGTGGAAAAAACATTTGACCAAGGTAATGATCTAGAATAGTCTGATCATTTTTCGACTTGCTAGCTCGTAGCTACTATAGGGCCTGCACATCCGGTCAGATGTGACGGCTCTCCCCATACCGGACGCGGTCGGCACGACGGAGGAGACGATCCCGGCTCGTTGGGCCGCTGCTGACTGACTTAACTAATCAATGGCGTTCGATCGGATAAGGATATATTTCTTCTGAACTTACAGGTGCAGATTTTCCAGTTTGTGTTGATGATCGCTCACCTCTCGGTCCCAATGTTCCGGAATTGCGGTTACCCATCGTCAATTATCTACACTTGGCAGGCGTCTATCGGGGCGATCCTTATACTTTTTCTAAACTTTTATATCCGAAGTTACAAAAATGTTGTTAAACGAAACGCCGCTGGTGCCTCTGTTAAGGAAAATTGATCGACCTTACCTACCGACTTGTCAGAGAAACAATTACTCGAAACCCCCCGCTTCATTGTATATAGTTTCTATGCGTTTACACATCGGCGGATCGGCTCCGATATACTGTTCGTTTCCACGAGCAGTCTGATTAAGAAGATAACCAAAAGAGGAACATAGGAATACGACGCCTTCGTGTCTCCTCGGATAAGGCAGCGAAAACGAAACGAACCCATTGAGTGGATAAATGTGGCGAGGATGAAAAATGCATAAGAAACGATGAGGACGATATAGCTGAAAATCCAAAACGAAATACGAACTTGCTATCACCGACTTGGATGGAACGCCCTGAATAATGTTTTTCTACTCATGAATCGACCATGGAAACATAGCAGCATTCCACAGATATCGCAAGCAGCGAGGTATGTCATACTATGCTCTATTCAGGAATTCTCGCGGGAAGCATCGAAAGAATGTTCGAATAAAAACGCCAATGTATCTGACGTCTGTACAGAGGAATCAATTATCAAATTGGTTTTCTATGGATTGACCATTTCTCCCCATCGAATCATCGGAGCCATTCGAGCTGAATGTCAGGTAAAAGCTCGTGCGACGCAGTTGAAGAATCCATAGCATAATAGGTCGCCGATTTTTCTCGAGCTGTTCCGATGAGCGATCCTTAATACATAAGTGTTATGCACGCTTCAGTCACAGCTGTTTCTAATAGATTGCACTCCCTCTGGTGAGACCGCTGCTGCATGCGACCGAAGACTGACTTCGACAATTTTCTGGAAGCAGCTTCCGCTTGATGAATGATAGCGACGAATCCGCATCGGATAAGATACGTTCACTCCGAGAGAGACCGACTAAATACGCTCAAGATCAAATCAATCGCAGTGATTTTTTCTTTATCGAGCGAATCTTAGCTTGGCGTCGCGCTATCACCGCTAGGCGAAGTCCTCTCTTCTAGCTGCGGCTCTTCGCGTCCGTTAGTTTTGTTCTCGTTCTGGCTCGCGCTCGTCCTGGAAGCCGGAGATAGTCAGAAAATTCTGGAACGTATCGCAATGATGTTGAGATTCGTGGACGATGTCCGCGACGATAAAGTGTTTCGACCTTGACCGTAAAGCTATCACCTTGTGCCGTCCCCAGTGACATCATGTCTTCCCGCCGGTCAGGTTTTCCGGATACCGACGGATCAGTCGCTCCGACAACACCCCTGCTGCATGCTTCCATTTCTCTCCCGAATACGATGACTTCTTCTTCGGAGGGTCTCTGGCACGGGACTGCGCCTACAGCGGCCGAACGGGATATACGAAATTTCGGGTTCGGAGGAATCGCCATCGTCCTTCCCGATTCCTCCTGACGTTATTGCGGAAACTTAGATTACACGACCGGAACGAGATAGTCGGAATTCATGCATTAAGCTCAAGACCGCGGAAGATCTTATCCCTCAAAACTAAGATGAAGCTCTATCGAAATTCCACGCGTGGTGAAGTCTTGCGTAAGGGACCGAAAGTCGATCAATCTCGGAAGAAGTCGACTTCCGTTCTCAGTGAAAAAGGAACAGAATTCTCTTGCGTAATGTGTCTTCGACGAGCGTGACCGACCGGTCCGACGATTCATTTGCAATTCAAAATATCGGCACTGATGTGCGGTTCGCCTCCTCCTTCGCATATCTCTGGAAATTTCAACGCAATCATGCTCTCGGATTGACTTCCCATCGCAGTGAAAACAAGTTGATTTCGAGTCGAACAAATTATCGTTCGAGACAGAATATATGCTTTGTTTGCACCAGCTGTTCTTCCACACAATGTCACATCATTTCTTCATCGACACAATCAGCAGAGTGGAGCTGCTCGTTTCCTGGAGAGTCCCTCGAAAATATATATTATCGGAATAACATTGCGATGTGAAACGGACGGAGGATTCTCGCCCGCTGGAGGGAACGTGGACTAAAAACTCGATCCGAACTCGAATGGCGTCGGGGATCCTTCAGACGAAGGAGTACGTGTTCTCAACGGCACGGCCTTTAGGAGGATGGTTATTCGAGTGCGGTGTCTGTTGAGAGGAACTGACGATATTCTCCAGCGAGACGACCCGATGCCGAACCGAGCCACCCCAGGAGCTCTGAAGACTGTCCACGCCCACCTAGGAATGACGGAAATTCAGTCAAGAGAAAGCGATTTGGCTGGTAAAATTGCAGACACGATCTGGATTTCTTGCTCAAGAAGACCGGAAATACTGACCTCATAACCCGTTGCTCTGGGCTGGTCGTCGCTGTCTGCGGTGCCTTCCGTTGGAGGCATGTGCACGATGAATGGCTGCGTTAGAACGTACTCGGTCAAAGTGATATCCGAGCTTCCCCCCGTCTCCAAAGGAATTGCATGGAGACGGAAGTGCTCTAGCATGTCGAAAACATTTTGGAACCACAGGTGCTGAACATGGCATATTCCCTCGGAATTTATCGTCATGCGGAGATGCTTCGCGCGACCTGCAAGACAGAGTAGAGGCATAGCGTTTAATGGAAGCCGGAAAGAATATTGGGCTCCGTCGGACCGAACCGAGAATCCAGGAGATCACACACAGGGCGGGGGACCAATTTCCGAGCGGATTCAAACCATCTTGCAACCCTACGTAGAATGAATTTTCGGAAATAAGGCAATCACAAGATATCGCTCACCCTGAAAGTTGAATGTGAGTACATATTCGCCCTTGCGAGTCTCCGACTGTCGTACCAAAAAGAAACCGTGTGCTGACGTCCCGTCACGCAAAACCAGCTGAGTAGCATCCTGAAATCCGAGTCCCTTCGGTTTTAGTTTCAATGCTCGATACTTCATCGTCCGGAGACGTAATGAATGCTGACCAGTAAATACAAGGCGGAAACGTACCTGTCTGGACAGGGTTCCGTGGAACCAAGGATAATCCACCAGCTGTTGGAGAATTTCCCCGCTGTCGACAACCGGAGGCTCTGGGAAGGGAGGAAGATTTTGCTGATTCGTCTGATCGGACAGCGAAACGAGGCCTCTCGTACTCGCTGGAGGAGGCAACGGCGAATCTTCCAGAGGTGGTTGGCGGCTCTTAGACGCTTGCTCCCGCAATCTGTTCAACGTATCCGATGTCGAAGTCCCCGATCTCGGACGAAGGTTCGGTGGTGAGGAACCGGGTATCGTTGAGATCGAGGTTTCTCTGGCCAAATGCTGAGGAATACGAAAGCGTTCTTATGTGTCAATGCTCATGAGGCTTCTTGAAAATTATCTCAATATGAGAAATCTAACTCACGTCAATAGATTTGTTCTGCGTATAATGCCTCAGCGTTGTGATCCACGATCTCATGGAAGACTGGTCCGTTGCCTGCACGATGTACTCGTTCGACTTCGGGAGAAAGAAAATCAAATCAAGATAGAATCGGCTTCCATGGCTCTTCCAGCTAGCTCCTCGAGAGCGAAGAGCCCGGTCGGGAGCTCCGTTCCCCGGGAGAGCCCCATCAGAGTGCGAGAACTCGGGCTCGGCTCCAAGGGCGGCAAGACGGGAAAACTTACGAAAGTGTCGTCGGAGCTAGACGGCGACTGTGCCCTGAGGACGAAGGTATACTCGTGATCAGGCATCTCGAGAGCCGTGGTTTCGCGGACTTCGGTGAGCAGGAAACAGAAAACACCTGCGGAGACGAGAGACGGATACTCATTCAGATGGGACAAACATTCGAAAATAATAATTATACTACAGTCGACTGAAGTGGTGGCGATGCAGAGGGAAAAACAGGAAAATTCACTCGCCTTTTTTGGCTTTGAATGCTTTAGGAGGAACGTAGAACTCTACCATATATCCCGCCGCGGCTCGTACTAAGACGATTCGACATCTGGAAAAAGTATTTATCGCTCAGGAGGACTCCAGAGTCCCGTCATATCGGTCAAGCGTTCTGATTTTGGGGCCCGCTACCAGGCGTTGTTGAGACGTGACGAATCGAGAAATCCGTGCAGCGCAGCGTTTCGACGATTCTCTTGGCTCACCTCATCCATTTATGGCCGCGAACATTTGTCGAATCATCATCGGGCGACAGTAAGTCGACCAAGTCTTCTTTCAAACACTCGACCAGTATGCGATGCTAAGGGAGAACATCAATCTCGTTAAGCGATTACGAACAAATGGTTGTTCAGTCTTACAATCGGGATCGATTAGCGATTAGCTCAAGAGGAGCTTGGTGAGCACCTGTATCGCTGATCTGGCGCAACTCACTTGTTTTGAGCGATCGCTTTTGGATCGGACACCCTTGAGCGGCTTATCGAAAACACCGGCAACACCCGAAGTTTCCGTCGTCTCTGTGCGTTCTTCCTCTTTTCGAGTACCATTGCTGAAAAGATTCCGTCTCAAGCCTCGGAACGAAAAATGACGAAAAAACGTCGCTGATCGACTCCGCACTCTCGGCACGCCTTCGACGGTCGAGGGCAGGACCTTGTCGCTCAAACTGGACGACGTCGACGGAGAGACCAAATCAGCTAGACCCTGAATAGATAAAGACAGATAGTGAACAGAGCTCGGGTCATGATGATGACTCTCCGCTCGGAATCAGATGGCCCCATCGTGTCAAGGATCAGGCGCAGACCGAGGCCCGCCCCACTTGGCGCCGGAGCAGGGGAGCGGGAAGGACGTATGCAGGGGACGACAACTTCGCAGATCTGTCTCGAGTTCAATGGAGCCTCTCGGTACTGGGAGACCTGCCGCGAACAGCCGCGTCATTCACGAAGAGGAAAGCCTCAAGGCCCTCCACGGTCCCGCAATGAGAATCAACCTGTTCCCACCACGGATTCTTATTCCTCCCCTTAGAAAGGACGGTTGAAAATTTTCTCTCACAGCGAATCCCCACCCGATTGGCCATCCATGTCGGACAAGTCATCTCTTCAGTACGCCTCCAAAGCGAACTGGATCAGCAAGCTCCAGGAAAAGAATCATGGAAAGAAATGGACGTTTCTTGCCTGAGCTCCTGATCCGGAAGCGATTCGCGACTCATTGTCTGGTCTCATCGTCGAGCAGTCGGCATCCTCAGTCGGCACCAGCCTCGAGTAGTTCTCGTTGATTTTTTCCTCCTGGAGAATGATAATCCACTCAGTCAGTCGATACGCCTGGACGAGATTGGGTGAATACTCCGGGAGCCTAGACGCGTAACCCCCATGTGGGTACTGGAGCAATGTCGACGTGCACCGCACATCAGGCAAACTCGAAGCAGCGCTCTACCGATATGAGGGAAGAGAGCGAAATCATCTAATCGGCTTCGCTGAATTCCCGATCAGCCTCGATCTCTTGACGGAGCTCTCGAACGCGCGTCGGTCATGGAGTGGGACTCCTCTCGTCATCATGACAACAATTCATGATTCAATTCTCTCCGGAATTCCCTCAGCCGCAGGACTACATTCCATTGGAGTGTCTCCGACTCCTCGAGTTCCACGCAGTTCGATTGCAGCGAGCGTAAAACTGCCCATGTAGAACACATCTCGTATCTCACGAATTACCTTGACTTGTGTCCCAGGGGCTTGTTGAGCGGTTTCCTGTGCCGTTGAATTTTGCTGCGCATTATCCTCACGCTGGGGTGCGTCAATTCGCTGCGGGCCGACATCCCGTTGTGTTCCGGGAGAAGCTTGAGTTGCTCCGGCCTGTTCGTGCTCAAGACTCCGGAGTACGAATTCCTGTAAGGCAGTCCCGAGCCTCTCAATGTCTTCCCTCCAAAAACTCCCGGATCCGAATATCCGGAAGACCGTGAAAATAAAACGAACATTCGAACTCGAGATAATCTAGTCACGGAACGGGGTAACGACCGGAATCGGCCCTCACTAAGTAAGTGGAGCGAGTTACTCTCTGGAAAAGCGTACCTTGAAGCGATCAGCGAGCCTCTGCAGGTGTTCCTCTGTGCTTTGTGTACATCGATCTGATAAGCGGGTCAAAGCTTGCTCCCCAAGCTGTTGAGCGAGATCATCTATCCAATGACTGATTTCCATCTGAAGTTGACTAGTACTGCGAGCCACACGCTCACGCTTTACTGTCGCACGAGCGACTGATGGATAATATGTTCGTAGGAAACACTGTCTCGTTGAGAAATGATGCCGTCATAATTGGTGTGGCGCGGCGAATCCCGAAAGAGATTTCCCATCCGAGAGGGCCTCCTCAGCGAACATCCATGGGTCTCGATCGGGGATCGTGGGCAGGGAGCTGAGTTCCACTCCCCAACAACATGTCTTCGATTTTCAAATAGCACTCACCCCACACACGCTCTTTGGACAATAGCTGTGGCAGCAACACCACAACAACAATATAAACAGTATGTTCTGTCGCTCCGCACGCGGGGGCAGATGCACGGCACACCCTCTTGTGGTACTAGGTCGGTCCGAAAAAGCGTCAAACTGTCCGCGAACAAGATTTCGGAGAAATGCTTCTGATGCGACTGTGGGTTGGAGTTCCACAAAAATGGAATCTCTCTCGGGAGGGGAGTGGGGAGTGCGTTCGATGATGTCGATGATCTCTGCTGGGAAGTCGAAGGGGGCCAGGCGGCCTTCGCTCTACGATATCCCGGAGCATCAGTGTCTCCTTCCTTCCACTCTTGAATCACGAGATCCTCATCGAAATGGAGAGGAATCTCGGGACTTCCGAAAAGTAGGCGGGTGAGAAGTGCGCCTCCGACGAGCACGGCGCCGGTCCAAAAACCGGCAGAGGAGATTGACCGAGTCCATACGACCGAATCGGTTTGACTGAAATTCTCGACGTATACCTGACGACAACGGATACGGATAAGGTTCCCTCAATGGTGCGCGGATTCTTGGCAGGATGATTCTCGGGGTTCGACTAGGAATCGGGCTGCATCCGAGACCGTGCAGGATCGTGAGCCATTTTCAATCAGCTGCGACGGTCCCGAACTCTCCAGCGCGCGGGTGGGTTCTCTGCGGAGCGGGTCAATTTTGCACCGGGATAAGCGCTGGTGGTAGGATTCGAAAGTGGAGAAGTATCAAGGAAGAGAGAACAGCGAGGCCAGCAGCCACCAGATGATTGGAGAAACGGTATATAGAGAATGCATGACCGCGTGTCATTCTGACACCGCTCCTCCGGGAAGAAAATCGATACATCCCCTCAAACAGCTGACAAAGAAAACTCATAAGCTCATGGGATATCGGCGGCTCGGCGAGTTTCCGGATCGACCGGAGCTCACGGCCGCGACGGATCCTTCGGCATCCCTCGCTGGATGCCTTCAGAGAGGGCCGGAGACACCCCAGCGCAACATGTTTCGGACAGAGGAAGTCGGGGAGAAACTTCCGAGCGTCAGAGCCAGTTTTGAAGGTTGAGGAGCCATGATTATACGGGAGAAACGATTAGTTGGAACTCAGGTCGAGAGAGGTTGAAATTCGATCTAGGTAGCTCGAGTCGAAGGTCGGTCAGTTGATCAGACCTATTCATCGCGATCGGAGATCGTTACCTCGAAAGGCTCAGCTTGGGGTTCCTTACCTACCCAGAAACGAATTTCTTAATACGCGCCTCTCAGGCACCATCATTCGGGGTCTCTCCCGGATGGGGACCCGTCTGGGAGACGCAGCAGGGAGGGAACTCCGGACTTACTCTCCGGGACGGCCCGATCCAGGGTCTAGGGAGAAACTAGCCAAGCTCGGTGTTGAAAGGTGTTTATTGAGACGATATATCTTATCACAGTCCAAGATTCTTTTACTCGAGCGCCGACCTGCATAGGGGACACGTTGCATTGCCCTGTCTGAACCATTTGTACTGAAATGAATATGGGTCGCCCGTTAAAATATTGTTAGAGTGTCCCATAGAGGATGAGAGATTCATCGATAGGGTAAAAGTCCTGACCATGCAAGCCTTGTGGAAGCGATATTTGCAGGTATTACACGGGTAATTCGGCAGTTTCAGGGTGGCTGCATGCAGAACCGAATAACATATGCAGCACTCCTTCCCGCCTTCGAGTTTCCGATCGAGATTTTCTGTGAAGAGAAAACAATCTCCGATCATCTGCTTGGTTCCCAGCGGACACTTCCTTTCAGGCTCGAGATCCCTGCGAGCAGAACCGTCGCTTTGAGGTTCGAGAAGCTCACCTTTCCAAGCTCTCAGGGCGTCAACGATGCTACCATCCGAGGAGTGCAAGAAAGTATTGAGCTGTCGTATCAAGTTCTGCCACATGGCCTTCGATCCGGTGACTTTGTCCGGGTCATCTGCGATGAAACATGTTTTCAAACAGGTGAGCCCAATTTTCCCCTGGCATGAGCAGCTGATCCGAGTTGGAGGCAAAAAACTCACAAGATATGCGCATCGACTTCAAAGGATGGCAGGATTCCATTTGTACCGAAACCTGGCAGGTTCTCCCGATGTCTTCGAGGGTGTACCGAGCCACGATTTCTCTCGTGGTATTCAAAACGCTCAGTGTCATGTTATCGGGCTCTTCGCTCGTTTTCTGTGCTTTCGATAGCTCCCTGGAAAAGAGCCCTGCTGAGTCGACAGACTCACCCGTTGGTGATCGCTGATCACCTTCGGGAAACCCGCGAGATCATCGAATAGGATTCAGTTGCTATGGATCAACTTGGACCCACCTCCCTATCAGGGTTGGGGAGACGTATTTAGTCATCAAGTTCTTCATACGACTCTCCTTCTTGTGGTCGTTGAGCTTCGTGTACCAAGACTTCATTACGCCAGGAGCTCGAGCCGATACATCGAACAGAGCCCAGCAGACAAGATGCGTGAAGTCGAACTTCCCTGGGGAGGAATCGAGATTCTTCAATCTGTAAACATGCGCCGATAGGATCCGATACTCGAAATTAAATTCGTAAGATCGAAGACAGTGCCAAGTGTTTTCACGCGAAGATAGACAAGCTTCAGAACGGATTCTCGCGCAAGGAGCGGGAGTAGGATCGCGGAAGCTCCGCTCACTACGCCACCGCTTCAGCCTATTCGGGATTGTTTGACCTACGTGGGAGGGCACTCTCGAGGAAAGCATTGGGGGGCGGTTGATCCGGGACAAATTCCAGCAAGAGGTTCAAGTACCGTTCCCAGTGACCTTGCTCGTCCACATACTCGAAATAGGCGGATCGTTCCTGCAAAAGATGCGGAAGGTGAAATTGTGCACTCATGTGGAACGTTCCTTCTCGTGGCCTCGGAGACCCAGGAGCCGTGCAGTCCCTTGCGCTTGGGAGCTCTTGCTCACCTCCGTATTGACGTGACTGCAGAAGAGCAGTGTTGTCGACATGGCCAAGATGTAAGCACTCAGAACGCATAAATCCTCTTCGTCGTGAAGCTCCCACGACCGGAATCCCCCATGGGACTTCTTCAGTATCGCCAGCGAGCTTGACATGTCCTGTGAATCAAGGAAGTTTTCATCCGAGTGACGAATTTTCGTATATACATAAGTAAATTGAAGATCGACATAGAATGTGGGGAGCCTCGCATAGCTGACGAATGCGGTGAGAATATTCCTCAAGAGGTGGCCCTCTCCTGACCTGCAGGAATCCGTATAGGATCGGATCGATCTTTACTGGCTCGTGCAGGTCGCTCTCGTCGTCCTCATCTTCTTCGGGCATGTTGAGAGTCTCAATGATGGTGCTGTAAGCACACATGATAACCATAAGACCCCCGAGCCGCGTCGATTCAGTAGAGACCATGGTTGAGCCCTATCGACTCGATGAGCCCTTCAAGAATGTCTAAGCCGATCACAATTACAAGGAGTCATCCAAAGGAGTCCACATACTTCAAAGTCAGAGCATAGGCCGCGAGCTGGAGAGAGAGCCGCTTGACTTGCATCTTCTCACAGAGGACGGCCATGATATCTCTTATGGAAGGGCTTTCCTTCTGCGATGTCCAGAAATCTCCCAAGAGAGCCGAGTCCAAAGAAACGTAAACGTTTGCGACGTTCTGCAGGAGAAGTTCGGGCATCTGCCATGGGTTCTCCGATTCTGCAACAGGGAATCGTGGATGAGGAAACTCGCTTGAGCCTGAAAGCTTCATTTCTCAGCGATCTTCTCGAAAATTGACTTCGTACCTGTCTGGAACGTGGGAACCAATGCCTCGATGACGGCCTTGATGAAGCAGTTTCCCCGTTCAGAAGTTTTTTCGGTTAGGAGACTTTCGTTCCCCGTCGCAAGCAAATCCGATACTTGGATTGCGATTTCGCAGAGGCTGATTCCCGTGGAAAGAGCCAAGTTGGATTTGCTCTCGGCGTCGCGCCAGGGAAAATTTTCGATCATATTCCAGACAACGGTCAAGATACAGTCAAAATCTTCCCCGCACAAGCCGCCGAAGTTCATCCGGTATGTCCCGAAGAACGACAGGAATGACAAAACGGACAAGTGCCAGCTGTCCGGCCTGAAAATCGACGGGAATTTTTCTGTCAACTCCACGGTGTTCGGATTTCCGGGGGATCGCCCCACAGCATGAGGAGTCCTCGACCTGTATTGGCCGAACTTCCCCCCGAGCTTACCGAGAAGTGTCGAAAAGATCCGCGTGGACCTCGAATGAATTTCTGATGTATGATGCAAGCCGTCCAACAGCATCACTCGATCTTTCGCTGTAAGCCTTGCGGAGGCACCTAAGGAAGGGAACTACAATGCAGACGAGCCCGGGCTTCGAAAGATCTTCTCATGATCAATCTTGTTCGGGACAAATTCGGATCAAGTTGTGTGACTTATGTTTTGATGACTCACGCCATGCTCAGACATAGATTTGTCGGGTCCGGATTCGCGGAGGGGTCTGAGCGTTCGAGCGACACGGTCAAGAAGTCCATTACATCTTCCTCGCTGTCAGCGTGTTTAATGCAGACCTGCGATATTTTTTCGCGATCAGAGACCGAAATCACCATAGCGCTCCAACTTTTCGATTCTTGTTCCGATGCTTCAAGGCTGAACACCATACCCATTTCAGCGATGCTCTGCATTCATCTTTTAGCCAGGAATTCTTCGGCAAGCGGATGCCGGTCAGGGTCATCAAGCTATACAGGACCGCGGTCCAATGCAGACCGTCTTGTGCGCACAGACTCTTGACAGCCTTTTCTAAAACTCTGTCGTTGGCCAGGAGAGAATTCATCACGGGCTTGAACCTCGGCTGAGGCTGGAAGAAAAGAAAATCAGTCTCAGCTCCGTTCGCGTAACGTGAGTTCCTCTTGAGCGAGGAGAAGCATACGCACATCAATGAGGTCGATGAGCAGGAGATGATTCACGTCGAATAGCTCGAAAGCATTCTTCGTCTCGCAGATTTCGAACAAGGTAATGAAGGCGGAGACCAATTTCCGGTGTTCTGCGAAGAGAACAATTCGTCGCAACCACGTTAACAGCCTGAACCGGTCTGCGATGGAGGCCGCTCGAGAGCAGCTGCAAGGAACTCACCTGGCTCTGACATATATTCGCTGTCTCCGTGAATGATCAGGAGCTCGAAATCCTTCTGCCGCAATCTCTCGCTCGCAAGCCAATCCGATATTCTGCGAATTCACTGGGATGAAGAATCGGGAAAATCTTCTCACGATTCTCCGTTATGAAAACCTGACGCCTTGCCACCAACCTGCACTCACGACACATCCGATCGAATTCCTCCGAGGTTGGCATAAGTTCTCTCAGCACTTGGAAGTCCTCCTCAAGAGACTTGTTCGTCAGCAAGCTCAAGACGCTTTCCACTACGGAGGCGCTGGAATACCGTAAGGATTTATCGACTCCGTTGCCTGAGCCCGAATCGAAGAGCGAACCGTCGCAGTTCCGACGGTATTCTGAATCCACTCACATTTCGATCGGAGACGGGTCCAATATTTTCTGCTTGAGATCGGCAATGACTCGATGACGGCAATTCCGACTTTCTTCGCAGTCAGTTGCAAGAGCTGTCACCCAAGTCTCCTGCATTCTTTTGGCAATGCCCTGTGACGCTTGCGAGGCTTCTTCGAGCTCAGCGAGGGTTTGGACAGATAATCGATATATTTGAAACACCAGAGTCGAGAAGTTCTGCGGGAAATATGTGCGATCGTTCATTAACATTTTCAATATCCTGATTGCTCTGGGAATTCTTATGATCGAAAAGTATGATTACCGGTCGCTTCCATGTCATCTCGTCCGATGCTGAGATTTTAGTGAGACTGTTACTCAGCTCGATTTTATTCAAGTCGCATTCTTGCTCGGTGAGAATCGTCTCAATGTCTTCAATCAAAGCGATCACGAGTTCGTCGATGAGGGAATCTGCAATCGCACGATCCCGCGTTAAGTCGCTTACGACCCACTCCAGCCGCGGATGATATCAGACAGCGCATACCATAAATCCACCAGTAGTGACCCGTGCTTCTATTTTTCATATGTCTACTCCGGCGGGGGGCTGCTATCGAAGGGGGGCCTATGATCTTTCAAGAAAGATTTCGTGTCGGGAGAGCGATAACAGAATCGTGGGGAAGGGCGTGCTTTCGATGTAGAGCTCGAAAATCATCACACAATAGCAGCAGTGTCGATGACGTATGTATCAGCTTATTCCTCACAATGTTCACAAGATCTCATTTGATGATTACGAATCGGGACCTTGCGTTAGGGGGCGGGTGTGTATCGAAAGGATTTTTTCTTCGAGAGAGGGTCTGTCATTGGGATATTCACGGCAACTCAGGTCAACATATAGGATTCGAACTCACCAGAGAAGAAATGAGGCGAGGATAGACAACTTCCGACGATCTCCCACTTGCGTGGCCCTTTCAGCTCATTGCTTATCGTATCCACGAAAGACTCGGTATGGAAGATAGTCGATAGGATCGGCTGGAACCTCTCGCAGGAGCACTCAGAGGCTTGGTCGAGGATTGTCAACAAAAGTTGCGGCTTCTCCTGAAAAGAAAGGGGGATCCGATGGGTCAAGTATTCGAGTCTCGCGGACGGCTTCTCGGGGAGAAAGATTCTCTCACCTCACACATTCTCACGATCTCCGCCACACCGTTCTCCGGTTTGGAATTTGCTATCGTCAGCAGCATTTCCACAGCGGTTCTGACCGCTGCTTCCTCCTCGAGCCATTTCTCGACGTTTTCGCGGAGCCATTCGTCATCGAATCCATTCTGAAGGAAGAGATTCACTCAGTTAGCATGATTGATTCATCTTCGAGGAACTTTCCTCGAACGATTCCGAAGAGATTAGATCGGAGTTGAGATTGAGATCGTTGGTAGCGACCGAATCTCGCCTCGGTCCTCGCTCACCTCGGCGAAGAACTCCTTCGACTCCTGGTCGAAGTACGCGGGGAACGAGTTCCCGAGAAGTTTGAAGAGGCTTTCATCCGACTTCGAGGAGCATAGAGTGAGAACTCGACAGAGGAAAGCCCGATTCCAGTCGACGAGGTCTTCGTTCGGAGTCAGGGTAGATCTTCTCTTGCCTCTTTGCTGGTCGCCACCCTCAGCGAAGGTAAGAGTTCTCCTGACCTGAAGAATCCTTTCGGGTGAGTCTTCACAGGGCATACATTTCAACGAATCTTTTGCTCTTGATTGAGATCGGAACGTGAGTGACCCACCCCGAGAGATTCCGCAGCAGAGTTGAGATGCCAGTGTAGAGCGATCACTGCATTTTTGTGACTCGAATCCAGAGAATCCATGATTATCGCATAAACATCGCGATAGATTGATTCTGTCGAATGGAAAGACCAGAGATTGCACTTTTGAACTCTCAGTAAAAGAATCAGAGCGATGAGGAATGACGGAAGTTGCAACATCGGAGCCAGACTTTTATCTCGCACCCACTAACCGAGGACAGCGAATTTTCCACTTCCATCAGAGTTCTTCCGCAGGTAACTCAGCAGAGAGCGTGTTTCCTTGAAAACTATCGGCTGGACTCTAATGACAGCAGTGTCCTCTATCGCTATCATTTTCCGGAGAAGTGATAGAAGCTGAAATTTTCAATGGAGGCTGCTAGTCTCGGACAGGCTCCAGCTTCGCGTGGAACTATGGCCGGGTCATGAAAACTGGTTCATCACTCACATGGTCCCCGATGAGCTGGAGAACTCCCGCAGAATCGACTGTGAAGTGGACAATGGCGTAGCGCAAGCATTCGAAAAAAGCCCTCGCGGCTGCTCCCAATTCTCCCACCGATGTTTGCGTCGTAACATTCTCGGTCAGACAGTCTTTCAGGGAATTCAAGACCGCCAATCGGTATCTGGAATACGAAGTTCCCACAAGGATGGATAAGAGAATTGATAAAATCATCAATGATAGGAAATATCTATTCAATGAAGTAGTAATAATTATAATATTAATATTCATTCATTATAGTATGGTAAATTGATGTGACATTCTATCATGAATTTTTGCATCTTCATTCACGGATACCTAGCGCAGATTCCCCACGGAGGATCGCGCAAAACTCACTTGGGATTGTCAGGCATTTTTGCGAATAGCAATAGCACGGCTTGAAAAATACTCTGGGGACTCCCGGAACCCCTTCGTTTGATGACTAGCTTCAGCTGTGGGAGCACTTGTTTCTCGAAAGCGACGTAGGACCAACATTCTGGATGCGCGACCACTAATTGCACGGTGGTCTGCCAAATCGCCGAGCACGTCAAAGGATCCTACGGGAGAGAAAGTCGAAATATGGAGAGCGAATCAGCTCAGCACAGGTAAGGACTCCATTCCCGTCCATATCGTACGTTTGTACGTTCATACGTTGGCAAGCACGACTCACCTCGCTTCCGGCTAAGCGACCGAGGGTCAAGCCGGTGACCGACCTAAAGTCTCTGAGGACAGCTTTCTCTATACTGACGCTGATGAGCTCGTAGAAGTATCGCTGAACTACGGCATGCTCGTTCTTCGCCAGGCGGCAGATGTCAGGGTCGTTTATCAGATCCAGACACGGCTCAATCTGAAGTTTGAGAGTACGAATGAGTAGGGACCCCGATGAGGGGAGCCCCATGCCTATGGATAATCTGAGGAGGTACAATCACGAGCGTACACGATATCCTCCGATATCGCTCCTCAGCAAGGGCAGAGCCGGAATTGTCACCACACATCGAGGCCTCATGGACTCACCTTCTTCTCGTGGCTTTGGTCGGCGCTCACCGAAACTTCCAACACGTATCGCAGCGCTTGGAGTGTACCGCTCTGAAGAGCTATCAATTTGATGACTTTCTCCTCCGCCGTGAGATCCTGAGAGTCTGCGACGGTCGCCACCGTGATCTCGAACAGGTTGCGACGGAATTGCTGCGTACGAGAGAATGCGTCTTCAGATTCAAGCACTCCTCGTAAGTTCATATCATTCAAGAGCTCTAATTCACACCGACACGTAGCCATTCGAGACAAACCTCGATCGTGTCCGTGAGGTAGAACACTATGACATCGCGGTGTTTCCGTTCAGGGAAGACTTCATTGAAGCTTCTCTCAGCTGCTGACGCAGCCGGCCCGTGCGGATCGAAGCGACCGACGAGCCAGGGCGCGAGGATCGTCTTCAGATAAGGGGCGATGTTTTTGCCAACTTTCAGACAGAGGTGTCGATGCGCGGAAAACGTGCTTTCCCGAACACGTCGATCGATGTCCTACAACACCGGAAGGTAAGCAAGCATGGTGGGGGATCCGGCGGGGTTGACCAGGAAGGTTCTGACGAGTTCGCGAGGTCGGACTTACCATTCCCAGTCTGCTGAAGTGTCTCGGCCAGAATGGGAGCACTCCCAAAAGACTTTCCTCTGATTTCGTGCCGATGAGGGCCACGAACTCCTCGAGAGCCTTCAACTTCGTGACAGCATCCTTCTTGAAGAATTTCTTCAAGAGCAATCGGAAGTCACCATCGACAGTGATTTCGCTCTCGTTGTCTGGAACGATCAAGGGTCTCGTCCATAGAGCATCACGATGAATAGGGAACGTTCGAGATCCTGTCAGCATCTCGTTCTGTCAGATTAATTTTGGCGCAAACTAACCGTTCTGCGTTGCCAGAGGCAGAGACGGGAAGAAGGCGTTGAGCGCAGGCACAGCACCACTTGTCGACAGAAGTGAGGCAGATCGCTCGGCACTCGCTTTCTAAGGATATGAACACCGGTTGGAATGGAGGCGATACTGAACTCAAGACCAGATGTCTCCTCTCGCGCTATTCGCACCCACCTTCGTATTGCCGCCTGAGCGAGGCTGGGTCTGTTTCCGACCCATGGTCTCTACTGTACACTCACACCTTCTCCAACAGCTGACGGTCGGAGCGATCGTCGAATGCAGAAGTATCGCTCCGGTTTCTCAATGGAGACACGAGCCTGACACGAAACACGACATGATAATATACTCGGCAACTTGCGATGGAAGAGGACGTGTCTGCTGCGTCACAAAACACGAACACGCTCTATCAGATATTCGACTTGTACGCTCGTACGCGTAAATCGGCGCACTCTGTACGCTTGTCAGTATGCTCTAGCTGTCGAATGATTGTACGTATGCCAAGATTAAGGAGAGCGCTTACGAGCAGAACACCGGCTGAAATTGCCCGAAAAATGGAATCTGTCCATGGAGAAGACAATGTGGACAATGATCTTTGCCGCTTACCCGGAATCGGGCGACCCCTTTCCTTTTCTCAACTCCGTTATTGATTCGCGTCGGGTCCGACGCGATCATGCCGGATAACACCCAATGGCAGTCGGATCACGCAAGATTGAACCTAGAATCATAATTCATCACCCAGGATTACAGCCGGATCATGTCGAAAGGATCGGAAATCGCATGGGATCACGAAGAAATCATGGTCCTCGCCTTGGGATCCCTAACGAATATTTCCTGATCGTCGACTAGCTTCTTCAACAGAGCTCGATATTTCGGGATCAATCGAGAACCTTATATGCATTGTATTCGCTATTCGGCGAATCGCCGACGATTCGCAAGCTAGCCTCATCTCAAGATGCAGGTGCATTACGCTCAGAGCGGATATGAGTTTGAGAGATATGAACATCGTCGGATACCAAATTGTGGCTGCATATCACTCCCAGTAGAATATATCTCCCAATTCTACCGGACCCATCTGTCACGGAACCTACAGCGATCGACGCCGACTGTTGTAGTCGCTGACAAGCACTCCGAATGCTTCGAAAAGTGGGCGAGGCTGAACGGAGCTCCCCAGGATCGTGGGGAAACGTCTCTCCAGAACAACATCGGCAAGAACTTCGTCGTAGACTTAATTGCATGATTTGTGCGGCTGGCGAACAGCTGAGTTTTCCATAGCGAGCCGAAGGTCCCGTTAATGTGATCTTCGCGCACTGCGATCCTCCCAACGCAGGCTGACCCGACTTGGGCTGGGATATATCAGCTAATAAGAAACAGTAACTATCATCAAAAACAATTTTTCACGCATGCCCAACTCGACGCAAACAAGTTTTATTATGCTATCGCCTGCTCACGGCAGTCTCCACTACAACCATTCTCGTCCACGCTGTCATTACGGCCATGAGCCTAACGACGAGTATGATTACATCTCTCGACGGGTGTTAGAGAATGTAAATGAATAAATTAGGGACGGGAGAGCTGGAATTGATTGTGAAGGCGGTGGGACTCATTCAAATTCAAACCGCACTCGCTCGCTGATATGGGAGGGAGAAACGAAAACATTCGTCGCAACTGTCATTCCGTATTTCCTGGAGATAGAATGCCGCGCTCTCCTCTTGAAGGAAAATCACAAAGTCCTCGAAATCGCTTTAGATTACGCTAGATTTCACCGCTACAGAATCCGTTGCGGGATTCTAAAATAATTCAAGTTTACTGAGAAGTAGGCATTCATCTCATCGATTCTACTAGCTTCCATGACTCCCGCGAGCTTGTGAAGCCGAAGGGAGAGTTTGCGCTCAAGGCACCGAGACGACTCGGAGCGTGTTGGACGCTCCGGCGCCCTTCCGCCAACCGGTGATAACAATGACCGAATCGTCTGTCTTCAGGAAACCACGGGTCTTGCCGACAGTGAGGGCGAACTCGATCCGCTTGTCAACATCCTGAGGCCAATCGCTGCCGCGTTCCCCGGCGTAGTGCAGAGGCAAGATGCCTCGATGCAGATGCGCTTGGCGCACGGTCTGCTCCGACCTGGGAAGTGAGAAAAGACTCGATCAGCTCCTGTTGGCTGAAGCCGCCTGACGACTGAATTATTCCTGAATTCTGGGAATCCGTATCGGGTCACAGATCCGCTCGCGTTTGTGCCACGGCGGGCATGTGAATCTGTTCTGACGCGCATTGGGGGATCCTCCATCGTCGAAACCTATGAATGAGACCTCTCCGTTCGAATGGCATGCCCGACATGAGCCACCTACCTGGACACGGCGACGATTGGACAACGGGGCTTGTAACGGGCAACTAAATGGGCTGTCCTTCCAGTGGTAGTGACAACGATAATGGCTCCGGCCAGACACTTGACCGATGCGGCAACAGCAGCAATCGCAACGGTGTGGGAGGAGTCCGTAGGGACAGGAGTCATTTCGGACAAGTGCCGGAAAACATCCTGCGCGGAGAGTGTTGAAAGTCGTTAAGGCCTATATTCTGTAGGAGCAGACTCCTGCAGGTTCCATGCGATCTAGAGAGAGCGCCGACATGGGTACCTTTTGGAAGAAAGCAGCTTCAGCTTCACAGCAAATCTTCGACATGATTTTCACCGTCTCGAGCGGATAGTCGCCCTTGGCTGTCTCTCCAGACAACATCACGCAGTCAGCTCCGTCGAGGACCGCATTTGCGACGTCGCTACCCTCAGCTCGCGTGGGACGAGGTTTCTTCACCATCGACTCCAACATCTGGGTCGCACAGATGACTGGCTTGCCGACCATGTTGCACTTGGCGATCATCATCTTCTGAGCTAGAAAGACCTGAGGCAAGAGAATGTTACTCGACGCTTGCATAGTCATTAGTCATTAGTCATTAGGCTCCATCTCCATCGGAGGTCAATCCATGGTTCGAGCAAGGTGTCCAGCTCGTGAATCCCATCGAGTCGATGTCATTTACCTTTTCAGCTGGGATCTCGATTCCCAAATCGCCTCTGGCGACCATGATGCCATCCGATGCTGCGATGATCTCGTCGATTTTGCGACAGCCCTCATCGTTCTCGATCTTCGAAACGATCAGGATATCTTTGCCTAAGAATGCCAAGAAGGTTATTCACGTGGTTTCTCAACCCTTGTCATAGAAATCAAGCTCATAGACGGTACGATGTCTGAGGGAAGTCAATGATAAAAGAGGAGGTAAATCCGAACTTGATTGACCTTTTTCTAAATATAAATTCTTGGTTAGATAACCTCCCTTGGCTCGTTGGACATAGGTTTTTAATTTCGAGTACCATGGAACTATTCGATGGCAGTTGTTAATACTACTGATGAATCTAGACGTTCGAAAAATCCGAGTCTCGATGCCCCGAACTGACCTGCCGAACCTAGTTTCTCGCGGATCTCCTTCACGCCTGAGGCGTTACGGATGAACGATGCGAAGACCATGTCGACCCCCTGCTCAATTCCGAATTGCAAGTCTTGCTTGTCCTTCTCCGAGACCGCCGGCAAGTCGACATCCGCGTTGGGCAGATTGACGCCTTTCTTCGAGCCGAGGAGCCCACCGTTCTCGATGACGCAAGTGATCGTGTCCGCTGTGACTTGCTGAGCCACGAGTGAGATCAGTCCGTCATCGATAAAAATCTTCTGACCAGTAGCCACCACCTTGGTTATGTTCTTGTAGTCGACGAAAAGCTTCTTCTCAGAGCAGGACTCTTTGAAGGATTCATCCGTGGTGACATCGATGGTAGCACCTTTCAGCAACTCGACCTCGGCGGATGCCCCACCGGTAAGGAGACCAGTTCGGATCTCGGGTCCCTTGGTGTCAAGAGCAATGGCCACAAACACATTGTCTGGAGCTATTTGCTCGTTGACGATTCGATTGGCTTCGCGAACGTTCTTGATGGTGCCTGGAAGCGGAACACTTCAGCCGAGAGGTTTTTGAGCACGGCCAATCATACTCTATCGAATGTATCTGGGTTGGTGAATAGAAGTTTTGAATGTACGTCAGAAAAAACCTCTCGAGGAATTCGGAATCGATCCGGAAAGTTGCCTTACCAGCGTGATAGTCGTAGGTTCCGTGGGAGAAGTTGAGTCGAGCGATGTTCATTCCAGCCTTCATCATCTGCACGAGGGTGGGGACTTCTCGCGAGGCGGGTCCAATCGTGCAAATGATGCCTTAATGAAGAATAAGCACTTGGAGTTAGAGCGTTAGAAAATCGTCCCCAGGCTTTTCCAGCACCGTCAGCAGCATGCGAATGAAACACCACGAGAAGGGGATTATCGGCCAGAGAAAAGTATCCCTGCGCAATTGCATTGCAGCCTTGCATTTCCGCAGGCAGTTCATCTCGAGGGTCATCTTTCATGGTGAAGACGTGAGCGAAGCAGAGCCGCGAGCCAAGTCAGTCTTAGCTCACTGACAACCTGCGACCGATCGAAGATAAAATCATAAACGCGGGAAACTCGCAACAGTCGGAATTTTTCAGGCGAGGCTTCGAAACTGTTCACCCGGAGCTCATTGCGCGACATCGAAGTAAACGTGACGTAGGAACGCGACTCTGAAGAATTACGGAGCGGATACGTCCTTGAGTCCACCGTTAGCAGAAGGAGCAAATTAGGTTGTTGATACAATGAGTAATCGAGGGATAGGATCATGTGACGCGAGGCTTGGTGTGATCATGATGAGGCCACCATGCCGGCGGGTATCGTGTCCTTGAATTGCGTTTGATGCCGAACCGCTTACCGCAGATCATGTAACGCCCTGACAATTCTGACCCGCACTGACAATGAGTCACTGAGGCACATCGTCAGTGCGGGAAATGTCAGTAAGCTGGATCGCGTAATTAACGGTAGAGAAGTACAAGCTGACCTGTCAATCTCGTGTAATTGGGGATCGAGTGGATGTTCAGGCGCGAGAGGTGCTCCTGCAGGTTGGACGAGTCCAGAGCATGGAGCTCGGATCCCATTGCGCGAACTGCCATCGTTAGAAAGATGCTCCGACGTGCGAAGAGACGAGGATAAAGCAGACTGGGACGCTGCAAGGTTACCAATGGAACGAGTACCACAATAAGTATCCTTGGGAGAGGAAGCGAAAGGGTGATCGGCGCAAAGCCTCTCACACCGCAGATTAGAGATCATCATCACGCGGCGCCAAGTGCACGAGGATGCTCGCGACCTCGAAACCCAATCCGCTGACATAATATATGAGTCATCAGTGTCATCATCACCTACTCACTTCGACTCAAAGCGGCGGAACTTCGTCTCCGGAAGGTATTGACAACTTCGGCGAGGAAGTATAGGAAAGTACCACAGGCTTAACGAGGCAGTCTTTAGCGCGAAGTTTTCTCATTGCTTATCGATCTCCGCGCGGGGATGGAAAAACATGCGTGAGAAGGGAATTACGCTTCCATCTGTGCTCCTCGGCTGATGTGGACGTTCCGTCGACATGAAGCTCGCGTTGTGCTGCTCATCATTTTTTTTCGATAAATCGCGCGATAACGCGTTCCGAAGCCGCGCAGTGAAGGCGGATGGGAACCGACATATTCGACTCGTAAGAGTTCGGCGGGAGATGAGCGATTCGATCCGGCGTAGGTTTGGTTGAAACGTCAAGACTCACGAATTTTTACAGCAGACTGATGCCGATGATTTTGACTATTCCTGCTCGAACTGAAGAGCTCGATGTACCCTCAGCGAGAGCCTTCCAGCTCCCAGTGCAGAACCTGCGATTGAGAGCAGGCTCGAAGGCGAGAGGATTACTGAATCATAAATAGCTCGATTCTCAGCCTTGACGTCCGTACGGCTGGAGCGTGACAGGCCAGTGCGCTTCCACCTCTCACGAGCACGGACTGGCGACCGACCCATGGGCTCTGAGCCTCTGTTCGGTGCCGCGCTGACGAACGAGGGTGGAGGTTCGAAGAAGACCGTGTATGAAATGAAATTCTCTGTTTTGAGAAGAGAAGCTAAAACAGCTGTTCAAGGTGATCCCTCGAGACGGGGAGAACTCTTCCGACGAGTCGGATCGCCGCCATTCCGAGGCAGAAAATTTTAGAGGGGAATCCGAAAGCAAGGCATCGCGGTGGAGTTTGAAGGTCGACAATCGTTCGGATCATCCTTTCCTCGGGGAGCACTCCAGTGTCGATATCCAGGAAAGATTCGGAGCGAGAAACAAGATTCGGCGGGAAACGGATTCAGTAGAAGCCTTCTCCTCGCTCAGGTTGTATTTCGAACTCGCGCCTCGATCCGCGCGAGACCAGACGTCTTTGGGAGAGAGAACGCCTCCGTCAAAACAGAACGGATCCCGAGAGTGAAAAACACGTGTTGTTGTGTGGAAGCAACAGCGCGACATCGGCCTAGTATTCCCTTTCATCTCCCCGGGAGCCACGACATCCGATGCAAGATGAAGATCAAGATGTTAGTGCGAAACCCTGATGACTACACCCGTGAAACTAGCCGGGACCTGCACCGGCATCAGAGGAATGTGGAACCTGAATTGCATCCCTTAGCGACTGCGAGGGAGTATACAGCTGCGGTGAATGCCGCCAAGATTGACAGAGTGAGTCGAACCGTCCTCCATTGGTCTGCCTCCCTTCTCGGTGCATCGCAGATTATTCTCTCTCTGGAGTATCCTCGTTCAAATTCCGTCCAAAATTGAAAACCTGTGAGGAGCTGAAGGATACCGAGAAGTCGAGAGAATGATCATGCTCGTCCTATCGTCTTTTCTCGGCGTGATCAAAGACTCCGGAACCCGGACTACATGATCAAACCCTATACGTCTTTTGCTCCAGATTTTCGCAAAGCCGTTTTTGTGCTCGCTGGGAGGTCATCGCGATGCGGTGGAGATCGTAGCAAAACATCCAGAAAAAATATCAGGCGTTGTCAGTGCTTCAGTCGACGGTGAAGTGCGATGGTGGGACTTGACCAACAGGCGATGCGTTGGAAACGTTCAGGTGAGCATTGCTCGTTCCTTGTCCAGAAGTTATGAACTCTTTCCCTCTCTGAGCTGAAAGAGAGTCTGACGCTCCGATTGCTTTTACAGGCGCACGATGGCCCCGTACGTGGGCTCTGCTACGGTCAAACATCGGATGTTCTCCTAACAGCTGGACAGGACCAGAGCATCAAGCAATGGAGAGACCAAGAAATCCGACACACCATCCTGTCTAAAACCACCATTATGAACCTAGCTCACCACTACAAGAGTCAGATGTTCGCTACAGCTGGCGAAACGGTTTCATTGTGGGAAGAAGGTCGGAACGAACCTCTGAGGAGCCTGAACTGGGGCGTGGACACAATATACAATGTCACCTTCAGTCCAATCGAGTGTGATCTCTTGGCTTCGCTGTCCAGCGACAGATCGATTGTGCTGTACGATATCCGCGAAGCTACTCCTTTGCGTAAAGTCACGCTGGAAATGCGCTCGAACGCTTTATGCTTCAACCCGATGCAGGCCATGCACTTCACAGTGGCGAATGAAAATTTCAACTTGTACACTTTCGATATTCGGCACCTCAAGACAGCACTTCAGGCTCATACAGACCATGTCGGCGCGGTTCTCAGTCTCGACTACTCGCCGACCGGGACCGAATTCGTTTCGGGCTCTTATGACAAGTCGGTGAGAATTTTCCCTGTGGACTCGATGAGGTCCCGAGAAGTTTATCACACGAAGCGGATGCAAAAAGTCACGTCCGTGGTGTACTCCATGGATGCGAAATACGTCATCAGTGCCTCTGATGAAATGAATCTGAGGTATGTTCTGCTTGGCATTTGCGCGAAGGAATTTTTTTGAATCTCATTTCTTGTGGAGCTCTGTCGAACGGGTGTGCTCTGTCGAACGGCGATTTAATGACTCCAGTCCGAATTTTCAGGTTATGGAAGGCGAAGGCGTCGGAGCAATTGGGAATCACCTCATCACGGGAAAGGAGTATCCAGAACTACAATGAGACTCTTCTCAGTCGATACGGCAGTCACCCGACCGTGAAGAGGATCGTGAAACACAGACACATTCCCAAGCAATTGTACCAGCAAGTCAAGGAGAAGCAGATTATGCTGTCGTCGCGAAAAACCAAAGAAATCAGACGGCGCATGCACACGAAGAAAAAAGATTTGAAAATACCAAATACGAAACAACAGATCATAGTGGAAGAAGAGGAGTAGATCACGCTGTAAATCTTAACTATCCTGTAACCTCCGACGTCCTCCAAGAAAATCTCTGATGTTCCCTCGACGACAAGCGTTCTTTCATTGGCTGAGTCTTGATTGCGCCCGAGACATGCGGATCTAGGGCCGAATGATTTGATTCCATCTTACTCAGTAAATCAGGCGATCACGGTCTGAGTATTCTAAGCCTTCCATGAAGCCATTATCGATTTCATCTCGCGAACCAACCACCGCGGCGGAATAGGATGAACCCTTGATACTGCGGGGTCGCGACATCGGGTTAGCCCATCTTTTTAATTGCTTCCGGGGAGGGCAGCGAGAGCAGTTATTTTCTGCTCCGTAGACCGCTCTCGCATAATCCAGCTCGATGAGTTATACGATCGACCCCTCGTCCCACCCCCCTTCCTTCTCGAGGCTCCACTTTCGTTTCGCTTTGTTATTCACTGGTATGTGATTTGTGCGAATCCACGTGCCGTCGAGGGGCTTTATTGGACAGAGAGCAAGATGATCGCGCGGGATGAAGCGGATAGTGCTCGAGCTTGCATTTAGAGGCCTCGAATCCGCCAAACCCCGGAGTGGTTCTGGAGGCGGCTGAGAGGGGAGCATAGGCCGATAGAAATGAAATCACCCACTCGAGTTCACGAAGGCGGGAGCGGCAAGGCGCGAGAGGCCTGCCGGGAGCATTCACGCCAAGACCCCATACGTTCCCATAATCGGACTTAACTCCAGGGATCGCTGCTGGACTCCTTGCCTGGCCGAATGTTGCTCACGCGAACCGCCACCGCATAAAAGTGTGCGGAAGTGTCCATTTAGATCCGCAAGCCCGATGTGCACGCTGAGACCGTTTCCTGCTGGGAAGAGGGCTCCAACAGTCAGCCTACTTTTCCTTCCAGATCCAGAGTCGAAGCTCGATTCCATCAAGAAATCCATCAATCAAAGCAGGAGTCCACTCCGTGTGAGGTGCCGCTTTGTGACTTCCCGAGCCAATGCAACGTCCTTTCGGGGATGGTGACGTAAGCTCTTCGACAGGAGACAGGAGGTGGCAGTAGCTAATCGAGATCTTAATCACCACTGCCGCCGCTACAGTACAAGCGCAGCTCAAGTACGAAATCTCGGTTTACCAGCAGAACGGCATGTTGTGCACACGCGGACTAATCTAGACCCCTCCTACGAGGGAGGTATCGGCGAGGAATTAAGCCGCGATTCCCTCGTTAGCCGTCGACGTCAATGATGTATCATCGCAGACCAGAGTGCGCCTGAACAGGAACAGCTCGGGATGTAAACTCCGCCCGCAGTGGAAGTGTGACCTATTCTAACGGCAGTCCTGAGGAGAACCTCTTCCCCTCATCCATAAAATTTACTAAGATACTCCCGACCAGTGACGGAGTTCCCCGACAATGTAGATCGAATTCGTTTCGGGGGAATCGCGATGGCAACGATGGTCGTCACGTTGACGAGATGGAAGGGACTGTTTGCTTCAAAACAAGACTACCAAACAATATGTAGTACAGCTCACTCACTCAGAGGACTCGGTGGGGTACCAAAGATGCGGAAAAACTGCTATGAATTTCGACAGCTCATCGACGGGATCCACAGTATCCAGAGCGCCAAAGGAAAGGGCTAGCGCGTAGAGGAGTCGATCGCTTTTCTTCTTCCATTCGATCCCTCGGTCCCCTAAGATACAACCCAAATCGCGTAGGATCCAGTGAGCCTCATGAATATGCATGCATGTTTCGAGTATATTGGCTATGAAGGATTTCTCTGTTTTCAACACGTAAGAGATTAAGCAATAAAAAATAATGGAGCAGATCACATTGGGAACGTCCAAGGAGGGACAAGCTAGACGAAGAACCGAACAACGAAGCGCGGAGACAGCTTCTAGTCTCACGAATATGCGTGATAAGAATGCCATGCGCAATATTTTCCTTGGAGCTCGTCGCTTTTGCGATGCATCGAGCCCTCTTGAAGGAAGTCCAGCTTGGGTATGAGCGAAACTTATTCGAACGAGACGGTATTTGGATAATGCCTCTCATGCGCCCTCCATGACTTGCACTCGCTAACAATTCGAGCTTCCAATCGGGCAGAGTTCAGAAGCATATATCCTTCAAGTGTCCCTGAGATTCATGTAAGCTGTCGCAGCGAGAGGGTATTCAGCAACGTAGGCTGGGATTACGTAATTTCGACGTAGGCAAGACCTCCTCAAGACACGACTCGATGGCAGAAAAAAAGACGATGAAAATAGAAGAATACGAGTATACAGTCGAAGGTGATACGTCACATCTTTCATTTGCTAACTTCCGACATACTAATATTTACGAAACCATTCGGAGTATTCGTCGGTGAGTCTCCTTCTTCTCTTGCGGCAGGAAACACCTGGTGGAGAGAGAAATGTATATACTTAGGGAGTCACCAAGTCTCGGCAGCGATTCGTATGGCTGTCCCTCGCATTGAGGCTTTCTTCTGTCGCATAGTCGTATCAGAGCTGAATCATACCTCAGGATCTGCGCTGGATCTAGGTTGACAGGTTGAAACACTTTGGGGAGCAGTCGTTGGGGCCCCGATCGATTCTGACGGACCGAGGATTTTAAGGTAATTGTATGGAACTAGTCCAGTGCGTTTACCATCGATGCTTGCTGAAGATGTTTAGAACATGGGTCAAAATTGTGCTTCATTATGCCGACGGAGGTCCTCCGCCTATGACCTTCAAACAAGAGTAGCAGCTGTACACCTACCGACCAACCATCCCTGGACTTTTGATTGGAGATTTTTGGGGGCGAGCCTTATTTTCGCTCCCGCCTGGAAACTCAATTCCCTGTCGCTGCGACCGATGAAATCGTAGAGCGCAACTGCTGAGTAATGTGGCGCCTCACCGGACGCCCATCTAGAACGACAGAGACTCACGTCAGGCTGGAATACCGATCGTCGATAATCCATAATAATGAGCCGTTCAAGCGGTAGATAAAGAATGGAGTTCTGGGACTCGTAGCTCACTTGTTGCTCTCCTTGGCACTCAGACCGAACATCTTGTAAAGGAGGTAGGGAGCTCCCATTACGACGGAGAAGAACGCGAGTACGGGCCACGATGAGGTCGACGTATTCGTCACGAGCGCGTCCTGATTCGTGATATGAGACGCAGAATTCCACGCAGTTTCGGCGGAATCGACTTGCACGATGCCTGGGGGTGAGAATTGGAATCAGACGCGCAGGGATCGGGAGAGTTTCGTCCCGACGTCACGCTCTGTATACGCGGACCACTTACCGAGTACTTGAAGGCTCCTGCGAATTATCCAACGGAGCGTCCTGATGAGCGACAGCGAGTTTATCAACTGGGACAGCTGCTGCGTTACACTGGAGAGATGGTCTGCGACTCCTACGCGCAGAAATGAATCGGTTAGTTCATGTGATTCGGACCCGAGTCCGTATAGAGGCACACGGCGTTCACACCTCAGAAATGCTCACCTATAACTGCTCGAAATGAGTTGTACAGGGCAAAATACGTGCTCTCTAGCATCATGGATACGCTGCTGAAAGCGTGCACGAGGTGCTCGACGCTTTGGAATGCGGATCGAGTGCTTTCGTCGGCCATTCGGGCGAGTTCGGACTCTCCATTAGGGGCTCCATAATTTCCCATCATGCCCCCATACGAGCCATAACCCCCGTAACCGCCGTAGCCTCCATACATTTGGCCGTAGGAGCCAGGGTAACCCATTCCGCCGTATCTAGACATGAAAGGACTCCCGTGGTAGGAATTCAAGCCTCCGCCATAGGATCCAAATGCATTCATGTCGTCGTTGTATCGAGGTACCGGCGGAGGTCCGTCTGAGCTGTTTTGAGCCGGAATGGCGGCAGCCGGAAGTTCTGGACTCGTGGTGGATTCCCATGGTTTTGGTGGGAGAGCCATTTCTGGAATTCGAATCAAAGGTCTTTAGGAGGAATCTTCCGAGGATATGCTTGGAAGATCATTCATTCATTCATTCATTCATTCCTCGTGAAAAATCACCCTTTGACATTCAGTGGGAATGAACGAGCCGTGAATTTCGCATCCAAGCGAGTTCTGTAATTTGACAACCCTGTTACCAATCTCGATGGGCGACGGTCGAAGATAGTGTCTCGTTTACGACTTTATTTCCGCCAAGGAACGAACCGGAACTTTCCTCGTTCCGTCATGCCGCCATGGGCACCCGAGTCGTTCAAGGGATCCCGAAGTCTCGAAGTCGCCGCTCATGATCGGGGCGCTCAAGAATCGAAATATCAGAGGCGTCTGTGGTTACGAATTCTGAATTCGAATTTATGCTCGGTGCTCGGGAACCCCCGCCGCAATGAGAACTTCTGCGGGCTGGACCAAAAAGCCAAGGTTCAAGGTCCCACGGGTACTGTACTTCACATCGCTTCCGAGAACGGTTCCAGAAAGCAAATGTACCCGGGCGGATGGAGGCCGAGTACCTGCACACTTCACCGGCAGCAAGGATCGGACCCACGCCGCCTCTCTTACGAGCGACGTCGTTGCGGCAGTGCACGTTTGCACGTTTGCACGTTTACAGAATCGCCAAGCACTCGATTACCCGTCGATGCCTTGATGGAAACTGCAGGACTTCTCTGACCCACATTTACGGCGACGTAGCCAACAATGAAAGTTCTCGACATAAGCTTGAGGAGGCTCTGAGCTTGATGAATTTCGATACAACGCGAAACGAGCGCATAACCACCTGTTTGAACCACTCGGACTCACCTGCTTATTGTACACACACCAGATCTTCCGCCTTGTGACCACTCTATGCACACACACACACGCCTTGGTGTTTGTTTCGGTGGCGCTGCACCACTCCGACTGACTACATCCGCTGACCGACGACGATAGCGGTGCCGGTCGCAGCTGACTGAACGGACTCTCTCTCTCCTTCCACTGTCTCTCCGAGAATCGTAAAACCAGAAGCGGGCAGAGAGGTCCGAGGCTCGAGGAGAGATAACCCCCGGCTGTCCGCGAATCCGAGCTTCTCTCTAATTGCGGAGACTCGCTCAAAAGCGCCCTTAGTCCGTCTGGTCTAGATGATCATATTCGGTACACCCAACCCGCCGCGACCAGCTCGCCGCGACTCAACTCGCCTCGGCCGACTCGCCGCGGGGTCCAGTTCGCCGCAGGGTTCAACTCGGGATAGAAGGAGGGCCTTGAGGGACCATCGAATAACTGTGTGCATACATCCCTCCATCAGCGGAAGGGCGGAAAAAACTGGAAACAGAAAGCTCAAAATATTTGTTGACACCTGTCAGTCTTCAGGACGAGAAACCTCAGATGAAGACAATGATTTTTGCTTGGAGTGTGACCGGGAACGGCCGGTCACATCTTCCGTCACCGGAATTTCAAAGATCCATCCAGGACAACTCGGGCTCGAATTAGCATCGCGTCCGACCGAGCATCGCTGTATTACGCGCTGGCTTCGAAAAGTTGTGATACTGTCCGTAATTCCAGACGTTGAGCTTCTGTCCTGGGCATTAGGGCTCCCGAATACCCGTCAGTTTCGAGAACCGTGGAGTCGGAACCGCGGGTAAAAACCGGAAGCTCCTATGATCGTCAAGAACGTCCGACATAAAGCAAGGTTCCCATTCTCCCGGCGGATTATCGAAGCCACAGCAAATCAAACCAGCAGCCAGCCCTGCTCACGGATTTTTCCCAGACATGACAGGATAAGAACGTGAACTCCTTTCTGTTTGCTTTCTGTTGATATCTCCGGATTCTCAGCGAATTTTATCTACGAGATAGACATCGGTGCAAACGCTCCTCTCTAATCTGTGCGGATTCATGGATATCGATCCCGGAGGCTTAGAGCCGTACGAGAACTCACAGGCTAGAACCGAAGGAACTTCTGCTCTCGAATTGCTCGATGGACTCGGAGTTCTCTAATTCACAGCATTTTGCATGAGGTAAACCGATGCGCTCCCGGTTTCCTTGTTTTATCCGCTTCAGAGCGCTCATAGCATTCGGATTGATATTATTTTATGTTGAGTCTTCACCAGAAATTGCTTCTAGAATCATAGAAGGGTATTCGCGGTGTTCGCGGTACGGTCCATGTCGGGAAGTGACCAGAACTGCCCCCTCGCAATGCCGAATAATCTGACCCCCGAATATGTGTAGGTGGCCTGATTATTCGGTCCAGAGGGCCTAAGTAGCGAGATGTCATGCGGGGCTTTTCAAGACCCGGGTCGACCTACGAATCCCGCGCTATCTCGTCTGAATCGCGAGGGTCAGTTCTGGTCCTTCCCTCCTTAGCGTGCATGACAGAGATATCCAGCCATCAAAAACATCTCGGCCTGGATCCTTACTCATTTTGGAGCTTATCAATGGTGGTTCAGACGCCGGGATCGATTTGTCTTGCCCTCTCGGAGCCGCGGGTAGGAACCGAGCGAACCGGTCGGTTCCGGATCGGAGAAAAACGGCCGAAACCCACGGTTCCAGCACGTCGGGTAGGAATCGTTGAAAGCCATGCTGGGCAGGCACTGTACAAGATTAGAGGCGTGGAATTCGGAACCACACGAGAGGTGAGAATAGAACACGCACAGGAAATTCGGGTAGTAGCGCGGAGAGTATGGTAAAAGTGATAGAACACGAACCAATTTCGGAACCAGGGATTTAACGTGGTGTTATGATTGATATCGATAAGTGGTCACGGTGTCTTCCCAGTGGCTGCAAAGGGGTGTTCCGAAACTGGTCCCCCCCGAATTAGCTAGGGATCCATTGGAAACTCTCTAAGGTATTCCAAAACCGGTTCATTAACTTTACTTTGTTCCGAGCTTGAGGGTTTCCACAAACCCACCTATCGATTGAGAAGGGAGCCTAGGAGCGTACCCAATAAATGAGCGGGACCCAGTCAATCTACAATAAATCGTTCAATCTGGGGCGGTGTTTCCCAAGAGTTTTCCTCCTTGGCCCGAATTCGGAGTACGGAAGCTGTCCATGGCCCACAAGCACTCAAAGAATATTGGAGAGAGCGGGCATCTCAGAGAAAGGAAATGTACGTTGACGAGAAATGGGGCCTGAAAGCATCAGTCTATCCGCAAATGATTGGCTAGGGTGGTCTCCCTGTCCAAATTCAGCCTTCGATGCATCTCGCTATCAGCCTTGAATCGATACAACGGAAGACTCCGGGAGCTCCGTGAACCACCGGTGGGGCTCCCGCCCGCTCTTGGGAAACACTGATCTAGGGTGTCAATGATTCTTATTCCTTTATGCGTGGGTTGGAATGAGGTCCCGGATGCGCTGAGCTGAAGGTTGATGGGTTCATGAATGATTGGGTCCGGAAAGGCCTGGGTCGGAGGTTTCATGGGGTCATGTAGATGAATCACAATCAGACCCCATAGGTACGCCATCCTTTCCTATCGTACTCAAGAGTAGGACGACTGTATAGAGTAACCGGTCGAGAACCCCTCGTTTGGCTCGATTGAGCAGGCTCTATCCAGCTAGAAGTAGGCTTCGCAAAAAGCCGCGTATTTCATCGGAGGATCGACGAGCCACGATGGGTAAGCAGGGCTGAAGGATCTAGAATCTCTGAAGCGGAGATTATTCCCCCAGGGATCCTGGAGGAACCTCGCACGAAGCCTCCCGAGGCCATCGGGCGCGCCTTCGTCAAGAGTCTTGAGCTTGAAACCCAAGCCTCCCCATACCCATTGAAGAGCTTTCAGAAGCTTGGAATGTTGCTAATGAGGAACAATCAGCCCAGACACTGGTATCCTCGGTCGTATTCGGGAGCTCCGCCAGCACGGCATCGGCATGAACCAGTGAAAGTGGAGCTCGTAGCGTTTCTTCATGGCGGCAATGCGACCGGGTGCCATCTGAAAGTCAGGTTCGCACCGCTCATCCCGTCGTATTCCTTGTTAGAGCGCAGGGGAACGCACCTCGAGCTTCTCCCTCTTCTCCTCGGACTTCGGATGGCTCGAGAGTCGGATCCGTCGAATCTATCTACATGAGTCTTCATTATAAATTATGAAGACTCATGAAGATCGAGGGATTTCTTCACCGTGAGCGCGATCAAAGTCTCCGGTGATGAGGCATTTTCACTATGCCCTGCCCTACGAAAATTCACATGAGAAATATATCCATCGAAGTTCGGTGATGCTACGGCCGAAAATCGTCGCCGACAAGCGTCTCGGCTGTCAGCGCGAGTAGAGCATGGAGGAAGCCATATGGAAGTTGTGGGAGAGGGAAGCAGGTGAGATTGTTGTTGTTGTGGAACTGCTGGTGGCGATGGTCGTGTGTCGTGTGTGTGTCTGCTGCTAACAGCTTGTGACTTGTGACACATAGTGCGTTTTGGGACGAATCCCAATTTCTAGATCTCAGGGAGTTGAGTCCGCTCGCCGGTCCCATTCAGATCGCGTCCAATCTCCCGGCTCCGATCCCTGTCTTTCGGCTGCATGGGTTGAGTAGAGAGTCCACTGATCCCTCCCAGTAGGCGTACAGTTGACTGCCTCTCCGTCATGTGGTTGAGGTTGTGGCAGTACTAGTGACGACAATAACATCGACGGAAAATCCACCGACCAAGTGATAAGCAGCTGCTGAAGACCATAGCGATATGTTCTCGAGGGTCAGGAGCGCTTTCTACAATGTTGTGCAGAATCTTGACGCGTTCCCCGTTGAGGAAGATCCGTCAGAGCAGCCCTACAACGGGACTGCGGGCAAAGACTCGAAAGTTCAAAAGTTTCAATATACCCGACCAGAATTCCTGCAGCTCGGAAGCGATGAGGAGATACAGGTGGGTTCACAGAGGGTTTTGGGAATCATTGACTCCGGAACACGCGAACGTCGTGTTTATAGCCGACCCATCGTCATCGGGGACTCGACGCCGACTATTTTCCAGGCTAGTGCGGATCACACCTTGAGGCCGATCCTGGTCCCGAGAAACATAAATCATCTTCCCTGGAATTCGGGTTACGCCGAGACAATCAACGCTGGGAAGAGTCAGCGAAACGAGGATCAAGGAACCTTCGTAACGGCTGCGATTTCTACTCTGAAAGGCTGTGCTCAAATTTTAGAAAACGCCACACCGAACGAGCTCGAGCAGCATTTGGAGCTGTGCAAGGACTGTATACCCTACAGGTTGGTAGAATGAATTACGAAACCCAGTGCGATCAGCGGGGAATAGACTCAGAATCTCATTCGAACACAAATAAGTCGTGTAGTCCTAAACGTCGGGATTGATTATCCGATGAGTCGAACAATCATCATTTCAATCTATGAATCCTCGGGCTTTCGTTTCTGATTGGTCAGGAGCTACGCCTAAGGATTACCGAGCCTTTGTGAGTTTGGCCTTCGCAATCTGTGAATGCCCTTCTGGAGCATCCATTGCTCTAGACTCCAGAGAACAATCCGATACGAAAATCTCCAGCGCATATTCCAATAGTTCCCCGTACGCATTGACCCCTAATTCTCGGCTGCGGGGAAAATAATCAGCCTAAACACATGAGGCGGTCCTTCAATGAGAGAAAATCTCGCTCAGAAAATCTCACACTCCATCCGTCTGACGCGAGCAACATTCCGCATCAACTCCTAAGATACTCGAAGAAGCAGGTGGAATCTCGCAGAGGGAGCATTCATGCGACCCAGGGATAATTGACAATTATTGTCTGCGATTGCCGTTTGGAAGTTAAGACTCCCCTTAATGATGTTCGATCACAGACTATTATTGCAGAGCCTGAAAAACTATTCCATTTCAAGTATTGAGGTCTCTCCCCATTCGCAGGTACTTCGCTCTGTTCGACGGACACGCAGGTTCAGCAGTCGCGGTAGCTGCTTCGAAAAGTCTTCACCGTGTCATCCAACAACGATTCCAGCAAATCGCCTGTTTGCTTCAAGATAGGGATAAGGATGGGAGAATCCCCCTCGGACCTCAATATGGGGCATACTGTGCCGCCATTTTCAGCAATTGCGACTCGAAGGTAAGTCATGAGGAGTCATGGTGTTCGGGGAATCAAGCGGAGTACCTGAATCCTCCGTGACCCTCTCCAACTCATTTTCATGTGATGCACCGGCTCTCATCGTCAATAACTGTTTAGACGCGATCGGGGACAGAAAACTCCTTTATAGGTGACCGCTGACAACTTGATAAAGGGGGCTCTCGAAACCGCGTTTCTCGACATGGACAGTCAGATTGCCCGTGATAAGAAGACGTTCAGAATGCCTGGTGGCTGCACTGTACTCGTCGCCGTTTTCATATTCGGTAATGAGCGGTGAATTTCTTCTTGAGTCGCGAAATCTCGTTTAGTCGATCCTCGATCCCATGCTCTCAAAGACAACTCTGAATTCTCCTCTCTCCACAGGGAAACTTTTCCTAGCGAATGCGGGAGATAGCCGCGCGATAATCTGTCGGTGTACTCGTCGAGAGGTGGTGCCGATGTCGAAAGATTTCACCCCGGAATCGGAACGACACCGTGTAAAATCACTAGCGCAACAGAGACCCGAACTGCTGGGGACAGATTTCACTTATTTAGAGTTCTTGAAACGTCCCACGAGGACAGATCTCGGAAGGAAAATGTTGTATAAAGATGTACATATGACCGGGTGGGCTCTCAAAACGATAACTCCAGACGATCTTCGTTTGCCCCTCGTCTGCGGGGAGGGGAAGAGAAGTCGTGTGCTAGCGACGATCGGCGTCACTAGAGGCTTCGGTGATCACGATCTGAAATCTCAATTGAGTCCGGTTCCTATCAAACCATTCCTTAGCGCCGAGCCGGAGGTTCTGGTTTTCGAAATCAGTTCCGCAGAGGATATAGACCAGAACGACGTCCTTGTCATGGCGACGGACGGACTCTGGGACGTGACTAATAATCTTCAAACGATGGAAATTGTGTCGAAATCGTTAGGTCATTTCTCACCCAGCGCCTCGCTCGAAGAGTACAAGTATCGATACGTGTCCGCAGCCCAGGATCTCGTGATGCAATCCCGAGGGAAACTCAGCGGCAACAATTGGAAGACGGCCGACAACAGGGCTGCGACCGTCGACGATATATCTGTATTTGTGATCCCGATACTGGAATATAAGAAAGAGTATCTCAGACGACAAGAGAACTTGAGGAAACTCGAGGAATCGACAGAGGATCAACCATTGCCTGCTCCCCCTTCTCTGGAAGATTCCCTTCCTTGATAGAGTTTCGCCAAGCAGGCTTAATTAGTTTTGGTGCATATGGAGCGCGACTTGGGGTTTCCCTAGCTGACTTCCAGTACGTGTCAAAACGCGGCGGGATCCGTTCAAACGGAACAACCGGTGTCAGCCTCGGACCAAATCTTAAACTTGGTATGAATTTCATTGTGATCGCAGCAATCCCATGGATGGAGGATCGTACTTTAGAGCTCTCGAACTCGTCGGTCGTAAATGGAGAATTCTGTATGTTCAAGAAAGGGATACTTCCATGCTTTCTCTGATTATTTATAGGTCTAACCTTCTCTTTTAGGTGATTTGATATTTCTGGGGATGAGAGGAGGAATCGAATAAAAATAAACTTCATACATTCAGAGATAACATGTCGTGACGCTATCATTCTTTTCTGCCGCTTGGGGAGTGATCTTGTACCCTCTCAAACTGAGCAGGCTTTCGCTCGCCGATCTCGTCCGGACCGAGGTACTTTATTGGACTCCCCATATTCCTCTCCTCGCGACAGGCCACTTCTCCCGCGGCGAACGCGGCTCCATGTTTCGGCAGGGCCGATGAGAATAATCGTGGACACGGCTTCGGAGAATGGCGTGGAGCTATCAGTGCCTGATAGTCGTTCTGAAATCTATAACAATTGTCGGGGAACAGTTCTGTCTGTAACGTTCGTAAGGTGGTCTCGAAAGTCCGCTACGGCAGCTACACGTCGCGTCGTTGTCTGGCTGCGCTTTGGGCGCGTTCGATGCTCCAATCATTTGCACAATTCCTGTCATCCGTGATTCGAATGCACCCTTATTGCGCGGACAGTCGGGGACTGCTTCTTTTTTTGCCTGGTGCGCGAGCGGCAGATACGCACCAAGCCGAGCTAAGCCTTCGGCGGCCACGAGCGCTCCCTGTCCCACCAGATAGAGACCGGCAAGATCAGGGCTCCGAATGTGAATATTCAAGCAAGGTACCCCGGATTGCCGCTTAACCGAATTATCCGTCCACGATCGTGTCGCTGTGGATGCTCGTAGCATGATTCAACTTTACGATCTCGGTGCTCGGGGCAGAAAGGTGATGCTGCGAGATCAATCAAGGTCTCCATTCGTCCTTCGTGGACCCACCCGGAATGACGGAAAGGATGGGTTGGCTGCAGCCTTCCGAGGGTTTCGGCTCTGGGTCTCCGGAGGAGCCGGGACACCAGCGTCCGATAGTGAAGGGAACGCTCCGCCCGGCCCCTCTCGGAGCATCAGCAAAGATCATCAGCGCCATTCTCTTGACTCTCTCGTCGACAGTCGACAGATTCCATTTTCGTTGAATTTTACCATCCGTTCTTTTTGTACGAGATATCTCATAGGGTTTCATACGTGCAACTGAACATCACTCTCGACCATACGTACGAGTGTGGAAAGGTGTTAAGTGAAACCTGTTAGGAAGCAAGAGCGAATCTTTGTGACTAACAGAGACTAGTGGGAAAGGAATCAACACAACACTTCAGTTTCCAACGGAAAGTCGTGACTACACTGAATTTTCCGTCGTGATCGGCTCTCTTACGGAGCCGCATGAGGAACGCGAGTCCATAATCGAGATTGGCTTCTCGACGAGTTGCTCATCGGGAACTATCCTGCCCGACTTCGCAGTAGGAACGGCGTTTCCTCCAACATAAGCGACAAGTAGACCGTGCGTCGTACATCTGTGATTTGGCTTGCTCTGAGTAGACTTGGGTTTCGATTCGAATACGATGACAAGAAGTCTCGATTGATGTACAAATCATGGCTCTCAGTTCTTCTCGGCAACCAGCAATGTGTCATCCTGAGATCAATAGAGCCGAATCATGAAGTGTCTGAGAAGGAAAGAGCCTGGTGAGCGTTGAATTGAGTGAACTGTCGGCGCCGGTCTTGTCACCAGAGTTTTGGAGCCGGCCGCTGTCGTCGAGATCGTCCCAGCGGAGCCCACCGTCGTCTCTGCCGAGGTAATTCTCGAGAAATCACTACGCTTCTTACATAGTTTCCTAAAAGCTCAGGGAGTTTCGTGTGTCATGGAATTCGCTCGTTTCATGATACCTCCTGGAGTGCGCGCCCACCATTGCTGATGCTTCCGGTAGTTCCCTTAAAGGGAACTATTTTCCGAAGCTCGAGACTTCCTAGATATGAACGGAATCTATGCTGGAAGTTATTGATTTTCCTGGGTCATACTTTTCTCCTGCAACCTAATCTCGTCCGGTATGCGAAGTCAGCAGTGTCTGCTCTCCATATTATGCCTCTGCGGAAATTCAAACGATGGGTCTATTCGGATCGATGGGTCATTCGTTTCCATTCTGCCTCAAGAACCTTCACGAACAGCGTACCGGTCACGATCCATGATTCCAGCAATCTGCGGCAGGAATTCCTTGGGCAATCATTCCTATACGGAGCTCTTCTCGACGTAGAACGAAGTAGGGGCGGAGAAAGTCATTAGGAGCTCGACTCGATTAGATTGTCGATGCAATGAAGGAGTGTCATAACCATAAAATTAGGGAGTGGGAGGTTTTGGCCCACCGAGAGCGACAGGAGATTTAATTGCAGTAAATGGAGCTCAAGCCGACTAACGCAATTTTCTTTCGTTCCTCCGTTCTCCCAGGTCACGCATCGGCACACAACATGCAAGGACATCCCGGTGCATGTGCGGCACCCCCCATGAACGACTTTAACGCCGGAATGCCGCAAGTCGGCGCATTCGAGTTGAAGACACAATTTTGCACAAGGGAAGGCGAATATCGTCTCCTGCCGCAGTGCGACCTGATAAGGAACAACAGGAATGGATACACTACCCAAACAAATACACCGGTGAAAGTGAGTCCTATGAGTCAGACTCTGACTGCGCCAGGATCCACAAAAGCTTCGCTACGATTTGATATATAGGTCAAGAATGACAACCGAGGAATCACCCATCGATCCTCTGTTCAAATTTGCAGATTTCCTTCATACACGATAAAATCTGTTACAATGTTGGTCGGGATCTATTCATCTTCGCATACAAAGGAGTTCTGAAAGCAATCAATCCCTCCAAACCGATAGATAAGAAGGTGAGTCCAAGCTGGATTGAAGGGTGGATCAAGAGAGGGGGGGGGAAATTCGCGACGACCACCCCAACCGTGTCTTCCTCCCCAGTTGTACAAGGGTAGTTTTCCCACCTGTCACGATTTCAATCTCGTGGCGTCAACGTCTGTCTCTTCATCGCCATCGGTTTCTACACTGCGGACGTCAACGCCCACTACGGCACAAGAATCCTTCGATCTAGAAAATGGCAAAGGTTCACAGGAGGAACTAGTACCAAACGTCCCGAGTCCCTCGAGCGAGGACACCGAAGATACCTCGGCAGTCGCTTGGGAAGGTATATTAGCATTCGATTCCATCGGGACATCGAACAAATCGCTCATGGTGCGCAGAATGAACTTTCTAATGAACGAAATTATTTTCCCATCCTCTCCTAGGCTCGGCGCGTGTGATGACCGATTGCGCTTCAACAGCGGATGAAAATAGTCATGATCTTCAACTCCTTGTGGGTTACAGCGCGGGCCAAATACAAATCGTGGATCCGACGTCGCGGGATTTGTCGAGGATCAAAGTTTTCAATGAGGAGCGAATTATCGACAGAACCAAGGTTGGAGCACGAATCTCGATACGGAGATCGAATGTTCCCGCTCCCCCGAGATCATTCCGGATGACTTGCCGAGAAGCAGCCGAGTCACTGTTCGATAATGTCTTTCGTTCTTCCCAATTCAGGTGACGAACGTGGCTTGGGTTCCTTTCTCAACACAACTTTTCCTAGTATCGCACAGCTCAGGCCAATTGTATCTGTATAAAAGTGACTGCACTTCGGGCCCTCAAGCACCCCACTACCAAGTTTTCAAGACCGGACCCGGCTATACTATCTACACCTGTAGATCAAAGCAAACCCGCAATCCGCTGTTCCGATGGGTGATCGGAGAAGGATCCTTGAACAATTTTGCATTTTCTCCCGGAGAAGGAAAATACCTGGCGACGGTGAGTGCTCTTGAGGAGCCCAGATTCCGTCCCGCATCGGGGCGAGATCGTTGTGACCCATCAGATTCGTTCAGGATGAGATCGGATGAGATCCGTCTGTGAACGGTTGTGCACCGTGGAATGAGCGGCTTCATTCGTTTTCTGATTCCGAGTGCTCTATCGACAGGTGAGCCAGGATGGAGTCATGAGATGTTTCGAATACGCTCGAATGGATCTTATCGGCTCGTTCCGCTCATATTTCGGCGGGCTGCTGTGTGTCGCGTGGTCGCCGGATGCAAAGTATGTCTTATGCGGAGGTGAGGACGACCTGATCACGCTGTGGTCAGTCAGCGAGAAACGAGTCGTTGCCCGTGGGCAAGGTCACAACTCCTGGGTGAACTGTGTGCAATTCGACCCGTATCTCTGCGGCGATGGGGGTTACCGGTGAGTTTCGACAAGGAGTCCCCAATGTCGCAAAGCGGCGTGTCTTGTATTTTCTCGTTTCGCTGTCAATCCACGCGGATTGACGCAGGAGCCCATCAAGAGTGCTGATCGGAGGCGCGTTTTTCAGGTTCGGTTCTGTTGGTCAGGACACGCAGCTCTGTTTATGGGATGTGAATGAGAGTGATATGCTTAAGCAACCGAAACCAAAGAAGCTATCGTCGCTGCAAACAGTGAATAGTAACGGGGGAGTCGCCAGCAACCGAGAATCGACAAGTCCCCCCGCGCAGCCAGACCAAAACAGCAAAAATCATCAAAATAATAACTCTGCTCCGACCGCACCTCATGCGAAGCATAAGGAGAACAGCAGTGGAAACCATAAAGACAAGGTACCTTTTATGAATTCACAGGGATCCTCTTCTGCTCTCGACGAAACTTAGTCGCAGCAGGGGGAGCGAGAAATCGTACCAAACATTAGCCTCCCCATCCCTTGCGGGCAATAAACGGCGTATGATCTCACTCTGGAATTTGTAGGGAGATTATATTGCGTCGACGAATGTTCCCATGCTCTCCGTTTGCCTTCCAGGAACACTGCAATGGTGCATCCGGCACTCCTCTGCCGATACAATTAGGCTGCACACAGTGTCCTCGTTTGAACCAAGTGCCGATGCTCGAGCCTTTGATCTGCAAACGGATTGCGCCCGAGAGACTGACATCATTACATTTCCGAGAAGACTCCATAATCACGGCTTGCCAGGAGGGATACGTCTTCACTTGGGCTAGACCTGGTGAGTGTTTTTAGGGTTTCCTCGGATCACTAATCGGGGGATACACAGAAAAAGGATATCGATGGGAGTCACTGTATACAGGACTCGGGAGATACTCAAGCGGGAATACTCTTCTCGACGCAGGGGTCCGCGTGGATTCTGGAGAACGAGCAGATTTCGGAACGAGTGTCGCCGCCGCGTTCATCGACATCGACTTGCCTTCAACAGCCAATTCCATGAACAACAGCAGTTCAACCCTAACCTCGAGTGGCGCCACGGACGTAATCACAACATGACTCTTCGAATAGTCCTCAACTGTGTCGGTCGGTGATGTATCCATCTAGCCAGTCAGTCAGGCAAATAGTCAAGCAGTCAGTCAGTCATTTAGATAGTTAGCTCAATTGTTATGTTGACTTGTCGTTAAGAACTACCCGTGTAAAGTATCAGTGATTTTCTGGACGAAAATAAAATATTGCAGCTTCAGAAGAATTGTCTCTCCTGTTTCCCCTTGTCACGGTAAATAGAATCTCTGAAGGATCCGACGGGGCCTCGGGAAGGATCTGAGTGGCTGCGGCGACTTGAGAGGTGCTTGGTGCGAGAGATCTCTCGTTTCTCCCGGAGATGTCGACGTCTACGAGACTTAATCGAGTGATGTCGATAGCGTCTTTGTAGATTTCTTGAAGGATGAATTCGATGGGAGATCCAGCCTCAGGTCGCTGATTCAGCTCAATTCTCAACTTCGTGTCATTAGCCGCTAATCCCACGTAAGAAGCTCACGATTCTCCTTCAATATTTGTTGTATGCTTTATTTTGGTCTGGGCAATCATGTCATCCATTTGCCTGCGCATATACAATGTTTAGTATGCTCAGAGACGGAGTTGGCTGCAAACTATAGCTTACTACAATATTTTTTTCTGAGTCATCACCTGCAACCAATGCCAGTCGCTCAAAGTCGACAAATAAGCTTCAATATGATGAATCTCAAGTGACTTCAAGCCATCGTTGACTGGCACCGCCCTCCGGAACAATCTCGGCAGGATTCTTGGAGTCCCGATTTAATCATGCTCTGACGCTCTCGAGCGGGCTTCACTCGTGTCCGTTCGAGTCTCATCATAGTCAGCCGAAATAATATTAGAAGCTTGGCGCAACTTCTGTGGTGATGGAGACTCTTGGTTGGAATTCGATATTTGGGCTATTTTACGGAGAGATATCTCTCTCATTCATAAGATCCATTCGGTTTGTTCTCGACACTTTTTGAATCTTTCTCGCTTTAAAAGCGGTAATATTTTGTCAAGCTATCGTATCGTTCTCTAACCGAATTTCGGTCACGTATGACTTCATCTATGGCTCCTTCCGAGCTAGGTTATCCTTGCCTTGCGTGACTTCACCACGGGCATCTTGCTGTACACACATAGTCTCAGAGGGAACACAATCCATGAATGGTCGCGGCCGCGTGTTGACTCCGATAGGGGAGCCTGTCGGCCTCAGAGAGAGTTCGCAACCTTCATTCATCGAGTGTTCGATCTTCAGAATTAGTTTTGTAAAATTATCTCCATTCTTTCTCTTCGCTTGGATGGACGATTAGGAAGATCCCTTTGCAGGTTTCCCGCACAATCATTGAGGTTGCCGGTGGGACTTCTCATTTTCTTGCTTGTGGAGGAGGCGGGCCAGCCTTCTCCCGGGAGCTGGCGCTTTTCCCAGAAATGCGAATCGACGCCTTACTCCTACGGGACTTCGATCGATTCAGACCAACCGTCGCTAGATTTCAGGTCTCCAAGTCAGATTTACAAAGGCATCAGATCAATTATATTTAAGCGTGGAGATTCCGAAATATTGTTCAGAGAGTGAAATTCGACTCGCGACATCGAAACCCCGTAGGTGCAGCGGCATAACTCGAAGGTATGCCCTCCCTATGAGGAATCAGCCGACGCTCCGCGCATGAAGTTTGGCCACCAGAAACTCGAGGGCATTTTGATTCTTTCTTCCTGTTTGATTTTGTCGCGATTTCTCAGTACTTAACCCTGTTTTCTCATACTATATACAATAGTCTCTTTCGCAACTCAAGTGTGACAGCGCGTCACAATTATGTAGATACATGGGCCGGTTGTTGAACGTAGCGGCTCAGCGAAACTGAACCGCCGAGACACCACCGAAAGCTCTTCACAAAAGCCCTCTACCCTCCTTCTTTTCGATAAAAAGTCGTGAATTTCAGTGAAAACATCGAGAGATCCCCCATGGGTGCCCCGAGCGAATCACGAGTTTTTCGATTCTGATCGTTGATACCGTTTCGGTCTCGGATCTTCCCATTTTGTTCACGAGACACACTAGATCGTTTGGAGCATAGGATGGAAGCATCTTGGAGTGGAAAACGGTCCCCGTTCTCGGAATGGGATCATTGGCAAGCGGCTCGCTGCGCGTCGCTCATGTTCGACCACAGCATTCGTTCCACGAAAAAGACTCAATCAGCTTAGGTCGATGCTGGCAACTGATAACACTGCGCAATATTTCTCGACAAAACTCTGAATGCCTCCCTGTTGTTGACTCACAATCATTAGCTCCGCTTATGTTTCTATATCTCATCACGTTCAACTAGCGAAGATCGGATACTCCCAGGGGATCCGTCTCGGGTCGAATCAATACATAGTTGCCCTGTTGCCATCGAGTGCACAACCTTCAAGTATTCTATAGAATTCTTCTCGAACTAACTATATATAGGGTAAGCCTTCCCCTCCTGACTTATTTATCCCCCGCTTTCGAGGCGACTTCGTCAACTCTAAAACAGTATATCGTGCAATCGAACGAAAGTTCTTCACCTCTCGCAACTAGACAAAAGTCGACTCGCACGCCTCATATAAGTTGATTTACGAAGCCTCTCCAGGTGTCGAAATGAAGTATAGCATATGCTCAACTATTTGCTCTGTCAGCTCAAGTTACCTCCCCCCCCCGGACTGCGAATTTCGGCCCGAGAGACATTATAGGATTCACGGCACATTTTGGTTCATGACGCCTGCATCTGTCACGAGGAATGCTGCGTCGGTCATCTCCACATCCGCATCCCACTACCCGCGCTGGTCGTCGACTTTTCGGAGAAGGATTCTAAATGCTCTGACTCCTGAGGCATTTGGCCCATGACGCACTCATTGTGAAACTAGAATGTCCGATGTCCGCTGATAGGGAGGCTTGCCTCGCCCAAATTGCACTTTCGAGCTCGGGGCGCTCGAACTCGTCATTCGAAATGCAGGGAGTTCCTGATGAAGTCGGGCCAGGAACATAATTCCAAGGCTCAAGTCCTCCCGTTTTATGTAAATGTCGGACGTCCGTTCGTTTTCGTTCCTTAACCTAACTCTATTCACAGTGCCTCCGGAACTTTTGTTCCGGTGTCGCTATCGTAACGATCGGCTAGCATTCTACACCTGCGATTAAATATTCGTGCTGTTGGAAGTTCCAGTCATCGATCTCAATACATGTTCGTCGGAGAGCGTCCCGCATGGTGGAGACCCCGCAACGTCGTCCGTCACATTTAGTTCCGGACTCCTTTCGATTTTGTATATCAGGGTCGAGAGTGAATTACAATCTGCTGAAGTCCCAAGGTACTTCTCAATCATCGCAAGCTCCAGATCGGAGACGACGGGGGACTGGGAGTCGAACATCAGCAATTGTCTTCATTGTCGGCCGGGAGCGAACACCGGTCCAAGATCCACGCTGCGCGGTATGAAGGATCGCTCCGGAGTATCATCAAATAGTCTGTCTAAATTAACTCCAAGTCTCGCTTCTGTGCTTCTCAGCACGGATTGCACAGCTCCCTACGATTGATTATTCGATAAATGATGAAGAAAGTGTCGGCGTGCTGAATCAAGAGAATCTGTGAAGCAGCTGAACTCGGGGTCGCCTAGATTCCTTTGTCGATCATAGTCGAACTTGCGCTGTCCTCTGATTTTTCCAAGACGCGCGGAAGTCCTAGAGCGGGCAGCAAGATCGCCACCCCAACCTGGAATCAGGGGTCGGTTTCAGCTCTGTTATCTCATCCACCTGTCAGCGTTTGTCTCGGAGAGAGCACATGAATCGATTCGATCCCGGTAGAAGTTCGATCATCTTTCAGGCTTACATTTCAGGCTCAATAATCGTAGAAAATCGAGCGCTGTCGTCTTGAGAGCGTTCATCGCGCCGGGTCCTTGAATGCAGTTTCTCTTTCCCCATCTGTCTGTTTGAACACATTTTCAGTTCAGTAAGGTCTACTGGCGTCCTTTGGTCTCTTGAGTTGTACTTTGAGTCGTTTCATGCCGATTTGGAAGCCATTCATCGCTTGGATTGCACTCTGTGCCGAATTTTGGTTGTCGAAAGACACGAAGCCAAAACATTTGCTCTGATTCGTGGCCCTGCGGAAGAGAACGATTTTAATAATGAGAAAGCAGCTTTCGGTTCACCGTGAGGGGTTGATTCCGCGTTCCCGTCAACGCCATTCCGGCGGGTTCAGAGAGAGGCCATGACTTTCTCCTTTCTCTATGAGCAGTGGAGCTCTACCTTCGGGAGCTCTCAGTCTCCGCCACGGTGAACCCGCTCGAATGAACTTGGGATTTCGCGCCTTCCCCGGACATCAGGGGTAACGCTCATTGTCTCTTTCGAAGATCTGGGGAAGCGAAGCCACAGGTCTCTGGCCGTGGTCTGAACAAACATGCGCTCAGATATCTGCTCCGTTGGTTCATTCGGATCACACTCGGAACAAGGTTTCGTCAGAGAGCCTTGACGGCGTTGATGGTTACCGATTATCCGTGATAATGAATCTCAAATCGAGAGTCTCCCCTCCAACGCCGCTTCGCGGTGGTTTCGTGGATAAGGATCGCCGTCATGCGCACCTGACTAGAATGGGGCCAATTCCGAGCCTGTCCGTCTGAGGTTCGTCCTCGCTACCGAATCTGCCGACCGCTTTCTCGGATTCCGGGAATCGATGCCGAAATCGTGAGCGATCATGGTTTGACACGGTAGGTATCGAGTGAGAGATGGCGCTATCAAGAGAACCCTCCTCATCCGACGCTTTCCGAGAGGTTGAGAGGATAATACCCCTCCGGAAATTCAATTCAGGCCGCGTTTAGCGGGAGTAGAACTCATCAGGGAAGCTAGACGGTGACATCCGCGACCCGCACGATACACCGCTCTCTTTACTCATCCTCTTCACTTGTCACGCGCCAGCCAATGCTACCGACACGATGAATTATGTAGGGCTCTCTCTTGTCGAGTCCACTTAGCGGACGGGACTCTGCGAAGGCGAAAGTCTCCGCGCTCATGGGAGCCATTCCGGAATGAGGCCGCTCCCCTCGCGCATCATCACTGGGCGAGATGTCGACAGCCCGAAATTCAGAACGAGAGAAGACAATGATCGAAAAAAGCCCAAGTCAGTCAGAAGATTCAAACTCACCGATCGATGAACACCTTGGCCGATATAACATTCCCAAACGGTAGGAACATGTGGGTCAGCTCAGCGTCACCGAATTCCTGCGGCAAGTGGTAAATAAATAGATTACAACCTTCAGGTCCCTCTCGCTGAGTCTGAATTTGGCTGAGACCACAAACGCCGCCTGTGGCCACATTGCCGTTCCCGCCGCCGTTATGGACTCCGCCACCGTTGACACCAGCCATGGAGTTCGTGGTAGGATTCATGAAGCTGTTCTGCGAAACTCCAACCAATTGTGAAAGAGACGGAGCCGTGGGATAGGGATAGCCGATCGAGGGTACCACTGCAATGAGGAATACGCGCCCCTTAGGCCGGGATGCCTGCGTTCGGTGCTCCCTAATTTCAGACATCACGAAATTGTTCCTTGGAGCTTCGTGCGAATCAACGGGGAGGATTTCTGGTAGTTTGCGTTAATTCGCTTACACAGTCCGGGATAACCTGTAGGCACGTGGGCGCTGTACGCGGGCGAAATTTGTGAGAGCGTGTCCGATGGAGAAACGGCGGCTGATGACGAATTCGAAAGGAAACCGTGCTGTTGTTGGGTCGACGGCGAGTACAAGTCGTCTAATTGATGATGATGGGGATGGTGTTGTTGATGGTGGGGATGGTGATGATGATGATGGGATGATTGTTGATTCGTCGGTTGGCAACCCAGCGTAGGAGATAGTGGGTTGCCCGACGGTGATGGCAGGGTCCCGGCAGCAGGCGATCCACACGCTGTAATATCGGCGTTGCGAGTGCGGGTTGTTAATCGAGCGGGAGAAATAATTCATAGCAGTAAAAGAGAGGAATTATTATCTTACTGTAAAGGTCAATCGCCATACCCGATGTAGGAGTCAGGGCAGGACTTGGAAGAGCCGATGGGATCGCTACTGCGACTTGAGTTGAGATTGGAGGTAAATAAGACGACATCAATGCCGCCTGCTGCAAAGACAATCGCAGAAGAATGAATTTTCGGAGGCTGTATGATATTCTTTCCCCTTCACATTGGGTTCCGCAGGCTCTTCCTGTAGCGGGTAGTAATGGTCGTACGGTGGAAGTCCGGAGCCGGTGACCGTCCCGTTTTCGAAAAACTGCTCCCGACGGAGGGAGGGCGGATTGGGAGTGGATTGTCTGCCTGTCTCCCGACAGGGTCGGGGTGACCATCTTAGGGGACCTCTTCTGTCTTTATCGGAAACGATAAAATTCGACACCAAGCTTCGATTGATGTATCCGATCATTGACCCCGATCAAATACCCTCGTGGGCTATTTTTCATCATTCGGAGCTTTATGCGACAATTTTAGATCCGGACCACCGTGTGGCTTCTATGATCCACCTCCAATGAAAATGCAAATGATCCTGTCAGGATGGAGGAACTTTGCAGCCTCGGACACAGTGGACGATCACAGCCGATCTTGCGATCAGAAGGATCAGCAGACCTGACTCCCTCGGAAGTCTCGAAAGAAGGAAGCGCGATGCTCTACGCTGGTGTTTCGCATTACCTTATGGGCTTCGCCTAAAAACAATGCGAGTCTGACGGGTCGACAAGAGCTCTAGCATCGCCGCAATCGTGCGGCACAAACGAATATTCCCTCAAAGAATGGCCCTCCAATGCGACTCTCAGTCGATAGCTCTAGAATCCATAGCCTCGGGTATACTATGCCGGACTTCTAGACTCTAGAGAGACTCGTCAGCGATCCTGGATGATTAGATTCTAATGAATTTCCAATGAGCGGGCACCCGCTTCTCACATTCAGTCGATAAGGAGGCTCTGAACGTCAGAGTATATCCGTTGATTTCGCACTTTCTCGCCTCAGCGTCCCCCCTTCCTTGATGGATGTACCGTCGCATAATTTAGCACATGGGAGAAGATCAATTATTCTCGTCAAAAAATACTCACGGAGTTTGCTGCATTGGCGAGTTGCGACGGGGTCGTGGTTGTCCCGATGGTGAATGAACCGTAGGACTGGTTGAACTGTTGCAGAAGACTCTTCGCGAATGGACCCACAAGAGAAGGACACAGTTGCCCGATGTTAGCCAGCTGGAAATAAAAATAACCATCAACCTGGATTGGGATGGACTCCGTCAGTTGAGCTCCGAGCGAGCCACTTGAGGCCACGCGCCCGGAAACAGAACACGGCACCCGAATACAGGACCATTCGATCGCAGGAGGGAGGCTCGGGAGAAAAGAAAAAGGTAGAGGAGCACTACATTCTGTATTCCAACCCGGCGATGCTTTTCTGTGACATTGGTCCCCGAGTCATTGGTCACGATGATTTGAACACACATTCTTGCGCCCATTTCGGACGGCGCTGGGCTCTCTATAACAGCTCGGACTACACACCCCGCCGTTTCCCTATGGCGACCGCAGCACTTCTACGGCGAGGAAGGAGACAGTTCAACATACAATGGAGGAATGGGACAATTCCGGGGAGGGACTCTAATAATGGATGATGTCGTTATAGCGGCATGCAGCTTCTCGGAGCAATTGTCAACAATCTTGGAATGCACCGATTGTGAGCGGTTCGAAGGTTGAAGTATCGACCAATTGACACATGCGATTTCCCAGAGCTCAATGCTGCCGCAGCAACAGCTGAACGGGCAGGCCTCGCTTCCGGGAGAACTGGATCTCGCGGGGGAAGGTGTGCAACCGAGATACACTAGCGAGTCCTTCACGGGAACGATCGAATAAGGTCCCAAGTTGGTACAGAAAAGTACGCCCCTACATTCAGAGATCGATCTCTAGAAAAAATCTCGAGGTTGCTGGAGAATACCCTTCCCCGAATCGTCATGAATGGAGGATTCACCCGAAAGTCCCCACGCGAGGAAGTGCTTCCAGAAGTGATAGCGCAGATTGGGATGGGGACGGAAAACCGCATCGTAGAGCCACACCGGCGATCGCACCGGACAACATGCTCTGCATCCGCTTGAGGCTCGAAGGTAACATGCGCGGGGGTGCTTAGGTGCCTGGAGTAATGAGAGCGGCTTGTGATGAAGGGCTTCAGAAAAGGTGCGAGAACACTCTTTCTTGCACGGCGAATCTTAGTCAGTCAGGGAACGGGCTCTGCTTCCCGGCTAGCGATGAAGGACGGTCTCCTGTTAGAATGTCACGCGTGGATATTTAGCTTTTCCTTCGGCCATTCCTCACGGTATCTGCCGACGCGAGTTAGGTCGGCGAGGGACGGAATCCATTGCTGTCCTCCGTATCCAAGCCCGTCCGATGACCCATTGTGCGCGAAGACGCGAAATCTCTTGCGTCAGCGACGCTGGGATTCTAACTTCTTCTCCCCTAGGTGTCGATATGTGTCGAGCAAAGACCTATCCATTCATTGACCCCTTGGGCATCATTAGCATCCGTCTGCCTCTTCATATTCCTACGATGTCTCTCAGTATGTCTCCAACTTGGTGAATATCACCGAAAGGCTCACCTGTCCAACTTGAGCCATACGTCGCATCTGTCTCTCGCGTTCAGTATCAGCGAATTTCACGACTATAGTTGACGATGCCCCCGGCATGGTTTGAGATCCATGAAGAGCAGCTATTGCGTTCATGGCTTCATTGTGCGTCGAGAACTTGACAAACGCGCATCCCTGAAAATCGAGGAATCTTGTGAACCTCCGTATATCGAGCTCAAAATCGCTCCGACTTATATCGGCGGACATCTAGTTTTTCTATTCAGGAATCGGGACTCACCTTGCTATGTCCATCAGGCCCTCGAAGTATAGTGCATTCTTCGATAGAACCAAAACCCTGCAATAGAACTCATTAGAAGCCAGATCACGATCACACATCGCGATGCGTCGAGGTTCGGAGTCACCGTACTCACTTGGAAAAGATCGCGTATATCTTCTTCGTTTTGTTGCTTGCCTAACATTCCAACAAAAAGTTTTCGCTCTTCCGATGTTTTCGAAGCTCGACCACCTATTTTCTCGGATGCGTCGCAGGAATTACGTGGAGCTCCATTGGACATGTTTTTGGTTTGTGCCAATTGAAGAGGGTGACTCATCTGTTGGAATGACATCTGGGGCAAAATATCGTTATCAGCATCTTCATTTCCATCATGGATCGAGAATGTCCCAATCTGAACTCCGAATCAATTTGCTGGAGTTTGCGGTAATATGCCACGCCTTCCTTACCTCGGTGAGGAACATCGCGTCTTGTTGGAGTTTTCGAATTACGATGATTATATCGCACGAATAAAAGCACTTTGCACGACGATGGCGTACTCAGGATACGATTGCACTATGCTTCAAACGTTTCGGTGTGACGCGCTAAAAGCCATTCTACTCGAAAACCTCAGCATCCAGTTCGCGAACAAGTACAGAAGCGGGCAAGCAGGCAGGCGAACGAGCGACCGGGCAGTCGGTCAGCTTGTTGAAATCGCAAACGGACAGACAGGTGGACGATTTATCCTCTCGACAGACAAGAGGAAGAATGTACGATACGAGTGAAAAGTTTCGTTTTTACTTTCGTTTTTGTTCGACGTTTCACCTGGAAGAAGCCAAAAATATTAAGAAGCGGTCGATTTGTCCAGCTTCTCGGCCGAGGGAGACCGGAGGAGATTGCTCCCCTTCCCGACTGATGACGATTTTTTGCGACCTCGGCGAACTCCGCGCACCCATTCATCGAAATGCGGTTCGAGCTCCGAGACCCGGAATCAGAATACTCGAGCCCTCGTCCCGCTGCTGGAGAAATCGAGCGCCGATGTTCTTCCTGGCTGCGTCCCCGACCAGGTCTCGAGCTTGACTCTTCAAGCGGGGAGTCGGACCCGAGCGTCCCCGCGTACCGAAATATCCTGCCCTGCTGGGACTTTGTCTGCAGCCTATAAACATTTCAAACGGACTGGGAGCCACAAGGCGCGATCCTGAGATCAGTCAAGAGGATACCCAATCAGAATATACCGCCCATACGCTTCGGCAGCGGCGGAGAAGGGCATCGTAAAGCTTATAACCTATGAATCATGAGCTCTGGAAGAATTCATAGATCATAGTTGCGGCTCTCCTTGGCGAGATGATAATTCTCGAAGATCGTTCTCTGACCACATTATCCGCCAGCTCATCTGTAGTATCGGGATGATCGCGTACAAAAGAGTTCCCGGCGAAGGTTCGTAATCGTGATACGGCCAACCGCATTCGCGAAGCCCGGCGGATTGGGGAACGAGTTCTGTTAGAGGAAGATGGGTGGGGCAAAGCAAACTCTTTCTTCGATTTCGTGACCACTATCGACCGCACCCTGTCTGTTTCCCATGAAGCACTTGTGAGTTGGCTGATAATCTGGGGGAACGCATGATTCGGGCTTGCGGCACAAGTCCGCGTATATTGGTGTTTTCTCTGCCGATTGTCTTGAGTATCCTGCAGCAACAGCGACGCTTTGGCCGACGCAAGCATACCGAAAGTTCGAGTGAAATCCGACTTATCTCTCCCCGGTCACCTGCCACCTTGAAGTCCGCATATGATGGATGAACACTGTGTTGAGCATTTTGATGGATCCTCGTCAGTTGTGATAGCTTTGAGCGTCAGTAACGCACCAGGTTCCGGGGAGGTTCTCGAAATGCGAGAAAATTACAGAAGTAGCGGAAAATTGAGTTTTCATCGGAGTAAATCCCGGCTGATTCCCGGAGGCCATCGCTGATACGGAACGGAGAGGGATCCATCTGACCGACAGTATAGGGTATCCTCGAGGCGATTCTGGATGGTCTCAGAAAAAAACCCAGTGACATGAAGTCGCTCCGCCGAGAATTATACACGGTTCCCCGCGCTGGGAATGGCATTCTGAGAGGTATCCCGATCGTATTCCGTGTAGGCAAGGCCGTGGATGGTCTCATCGGTCGAGACGAGACTCTCGGATGTGGTTTGCCACGAACACCCGCCGAAGGGGCTGTCGATGCTGGATGAGAATTCTCTATTCTGAAGCACACAATGAGCGACCGCCGCGCCGGCGCCGCCGGAGCTCTGCGGTCGAATATCGATAAATGCATCGTGTCTCGTGCCGTATTGGTAGTTCGGATAATGTTCGAATGATTCACCTTCTGATGTTTGTGGATATACCCTATGTGAAGCTTCTTGCCCCTTCTGAGCTCCGCTGCTTCATTCATTTCAGTGCATATTTCATCGAATTCCGGGCATATTTCCGCCTTTTTCAGGGCATAAACGCGTGCTTATTCAAGGATTATAGAGTACATGAACTCACGGGCTCTGGTGATCAGCGATCTGAGGCAGCAAGTGACCGAGAGCGATAGAGCACAGCTCAGCTGGATGCGCATCGCGCACCTTTTCTCGTTTCTGCGTCCGTCGCATCCGACTGGAGGGAATAGTTTCCCCATCGAGAGTTCGGGAATTTCCGGATATGCGATAGCTAATGAACTCAACCGATCGGGATCGGGCGCCTCAAAACCACAGATCTCGATCAGTCCTGAGTCCAGCTCGCTTGTTTAGGGAGGCAGCGCTTTGCGACAACAGGGCGGCAGCAGTCAACAGGCGGCCGAGCCGCGGCTGCTCCTGTCCGAGGCTCAGGGTGGAAGAAACTTGTTGCTTCCCCCGTCGTTCGGGAATATGCAGGCAAAGAGGTCTCTGTAGGGAGCACGAACCTCGGTCCAACTAAACGACGATAACTACTCACCGGGCCGGAATGTATGCAGCCGAAATTTTTTCCAGAATCGCAAAGATATTGAACTGAATCAGGCTTCAGGATAGAGGGTGGCTTTAACAGGTGATTGGGGTGCGAGAGAGGGGGGGAGGAGGGTAACCAGACGGAGGTTGAGGGAAGCCACTCACCAGGACGGCCGGCCCTATTCGCACTCACAAACCTATTCAGACATCCAACAGGCTGGCCAGCTGCCTAACAGCCTTGCAGCAGGAACGCAGGCTCGGAGGCAAGCGAGGAAGCAAACAGCACTCACTCAGGCCTCAATAGCAGCAGCAGCAGCGGGACGACAACGACGAGGACGAGAAGAGGAAGGACGACCCTCGCTCGAAACAGGGTCGAGAGAGCTTCAATGGCCGGAAGGAGGTAGACACTGAGCATCCCAACGTCCCGAGCGTCCCTCTTGATTTCGAACCGGAGGCACAAAACCGCCATTAATATCACTTGGAGTTCATGAAACATTCGACTTACACAGTCGACTCCTATTCCCCAGAGCAGGCCAACAAGCGGTCTCTCGGGGTTCGCTTGGATTCTGCTCGGTCAACCATGACCTTTTCCTTCATCTTACATTTTTGGAGCATAAGCGGCGGCCGGTCGGTGAATCGGATAAATCCGACTGGGCATATCGTTATAAGCAGGCGATTAGGCAGAAAAAGGCTCGAAAATTCTCGATTCGGTGCGAGCCCCATTTAAATGCGATAATTATGGCTCGGCTCATCACGTCCGCGAAGTCTGACAATCGGCTCCGAGTTTTTTTCTTAGAAGGTACGGAAAGCCTTGCGATGACTTCTCGACAAGAGTCCGAGAGAACCGCGAATATTCCCTCTGGCTCGGGTTGTCGCGAACACTTCCATGTCCCTCCATAGAGGAAGATGATCAAGGGATCTAGCACGACGGCTCCGGAGGAGGCCGCAAGGCGCCGCTCTTCTGGCGTGATGCTTCAAGCATTCGAAACACGATGACGTCTGACACTCGTCACGTCCTTCAGGTAGGCGGTTCACCCTGCTGAAGAAGCGGATATTAATTTCCACCTCACCAGTCGTGAAGGATACCAACCCAGTTCGGTGAAGCTCGAAATAGCCGCTCCCACAGTAGTACATTACTACAGCAACTTCATTTTAGAATGGCGCCGAGGAAGGGTGGGGTGGCGACTGGACATCGATGTGGGGTAAAGGTGAGCCTACCCTGGTTCTACATTACGGTTCTCGGGACATTCCGCATCATTTTTATTGGGGTCTTGCCGGAAAAATATGTTAAGTATCGGAATAATCCCGACTGACGGCATGTCTGTCCTTGGGAAATCATTATATACTTTTCTCTCATGCAGACCGCGAGCGGGCGCAATACCGAAGAGCTCACATCCGGCCAGCCGCGCCCTTATACCTGATAAAAAGCGAAATCGCACTGGACACTGAAGTTTTCAATCGGGTTTGCTTGCCTCAATACATTGACTATGAGTTCTGTGTCCTTTTCCCAGGGATGCCCGAGATTGGGGCGGAGTGTGATGCTGTCGAACGAATTGACGCTATGAGACTCTTTGATGATCGAGACAGCGACCGCTATCTCGGAGTCTGCTGATGATGTTTATCCATGCGGCTTTTCCTCTGATCTGTCCAAGTCCGGATGCTTATTGAGGTAGCGCTTGCGCGTTGCCTCAAATGTCGCTCGCGGGGGATGACAGAGCTCAATTCTCTGTCGAAAATACGTTCACCCAATCTCGAGATGTCTCCCTGATTGGGGCTAGATCGAGGACACTTGAATTAGATGGATACAAAGATAGATAAATTTATTCGATTGGTTTATGAAATTGCTCATTCAACGGATATATCATTGGACGAGAGTGCATGATTGTGTCTTGTTGCACGTGCTCCGCACAACAATCAGTCTCCCCGCTCATCCTTTCGCGGCGGAGCGGTCGGGTCTCATCCTCCCCTCGTCCTTGGAGCGCATTGGTATTTCGGAGCACCGCGCGGCCCGGGAGCCCCTTGTACCCCCATTTTTCACGGCTTTCCTCTTCATGACGTGACGATTGGGATGTCGAAAAGTCCGACGGCTCTGATGCTTGAATGAATCAAAGTATGCCCGCAGAATTATTCATCGAGTTCTGTCGCCGAAGTGGCTGGAGATGACCGGGAATGACGCACTGATCATGGGTGAGAGCAGCATCTTCGACGATAATCGCTCCGGAGGATATCGACGATGGATTGCCCCTCGTGATCATCTTCATACTTACCGGCAACTCGTCTAATTCTCCCGTACACAATGAACTGTCGTGCCAGTGGCGCACCGAGACGAGAGCTGGAAGCCAAACCACGATTCTCGCTTTTGTCTTAACCTCGGCTAGACGCGAGAGGCCTTGACGGGCTGTGGTGCCGAGGTCAGGGTTTGGACTCCGGTCGGCCCCGAGGATCTGATCTGGCACTCTTTTAGTGGGTTGTTCCGGCTACTCGATGTCTGCTGCGATCGGTTCGAGTCGCTCCGTCGCCCCAGAAGCGAGTTCCCCGCGGGTGGAAATTTCACGTAAGTCACTCTTCGGCGAAAAGCTGATCTCGATATTCGGGAGGAGCTGTAGACCCCAACCCGACTGTGCAATCGAGGAGCGCCTCGATGGCGTCTCCGCTCCTTTCCTCACCGACATTCAGAACAACCAAGCTTCCTCCGATAAAGGTTGACGGATTCTCTCATCTGAGGCTCACGCTGATGCTTGGAGTACTCTTTCGCTGTCTGATGTAAGTCATGAGGGAGGCATTCCTGATAGTGAAACACCCCCTGAGCCTACGATCATCCCAGCCGAGCTGACCATCGATGATGACGCGTAGTTGGTGATGCCGTGTCGAACGGGTGATCATCAAACGTCAAGCAGAAGGATGAGAATTGAGCTGCGATTTTGGAATCGCTCCCCTGAAGCTTGCTCTTCTTCACTCCATCCATGAATCCGGCTCTCAATCCGACATCCTCAACTACACGCCGATCCCCCTGCTGCCTACCATTAATAAGGTGTTAGAAAAAATTATGGCAGCTCAAATCACTGCATTCGTCGTTGTTGCTATCAGACAATCAATTCGGCTTCAGTCAGGGCAGGAGTTGCGAACGAGCTGACCGATTACGTCGCCGACGCCATGGATAGGGGTTACCACTGCGTTGCCACTTTTTATGACGTCAGTAAGGCTTTGGATTCCATTAGCCGCGAACGTCTCCTCCAGAAACTTGAACGCCTGGGCGTTAGAGGAGATTCCCTGACCCTCCTCGGATCCTACCCACATAATCGAAGGCTGGGTCTGAGTCGAGTGCTAAACACGTCGTAAACACCAGGGTCCCTCAGGGATCTGCCCTCGCTCCGGTTCTCTTCTCCCTCTTTGTCAATGATCTCCTCTCGGACACTGATGGCGCACTGACTGTGGCATTCGCCGACGACACGACCTTGTTGTGTAGCCATGAGAACCCGCTCGAGCTGGATAAGATGCCCTTAAACGCCGTGTTCAGCCATTCATGCCGTATGAGAGCCTACGGGCTCTTCTTAAACGCCAGAAAGACTGAATTCACAGCCTCCAGGAGAGAATCCCGGGAGCCGAGGATTCAGATGCACGACACGACATGCGGGCGCC